TTTGGGAACAGTCACCACGCAGGTCTTCCTGTGCTGCAAGTGTGCAGTACCACTGCTTCAGGGGCAGACCCAAGCACTGGCTCGGGCAGGCCTTGCTCTGCACCTGCTCCTTGCTGGGCACCTTTCCGGACGCTAACTGTCATGGAGCAGGGCTGGGTGCTGGCATGGGGCAGGGCTGGGTGCTGCCCTGGCTGCTTGCCCCCAGGTCCTCAGGGTTGGCACCCAGGCCTTTGCTGGGGCTTTGTGCATCGTGTGCCCAGCAGATACCCCTCGACTTCCTAGTGGGACCCACATTGTGTCTGCCCTCAGCTTGCTGACGCAGCAGAAAGAGTCCTGGATGGTTCCACCCGCCGCAGGGGAGAGGGGAAGAACGGAGGCGGGGGCTGCTTCACCAGCAGGTGCTGAGACCGCCACACCCACAAGCAGCCTGACTGAGACAAGCCCAGGAGGCAGGGTTCCAGGAGAGCTCACAGGCTGGGGGTGGGGCTCAGTCACGGAGGGTCGGCCTGGCACACGGGAGAGCTCGGGCTCCATCCCCAGCCCCGCGAAAAAAATAAAAAGGGGGGCCATCAGATGCTGAGTTCTCTTCAGCCTGCCCCTCGCTCCACAGCTGACTTGCTGGCTGGGGCTCCATCAGTAGGTTCTTAGGTGACAGGGGTGTGCTGGGAGTCATTTAAATTAAGTGTATTTGTTGGATAGCAGCTGCTCAGTGTCACCTGAGGACTTTTAAGAAAACAGCCACCCTACTTTGATGGAAAAATAGATGCCATTCCAAGCCCCTCCCCCGCAGACACCGCAGACCGTCGGTGCCTGCTGGCCGCTTTGCTGGATGTTGGAAACACAGTTCTAGTGCACTCGGGAACTCTTCAGAAAATTTGTTTTTTTAAATCTGTCACAATTTTTATTTTGTGGCATTTTTTTTAAAGGATGCTAGAACTCTTGAGCTGGGAGTTTGAGACAGGTGGACACGTGCGGGTACTCGGGACACTCCGAGTCAGAGGCTTCCTCAGCCCTCTGAGGGACACCCTTCCCCTGCGGTGCTGGTGGGGCCTGTTTCCTCTGGGAACCCAAGGGATATGCAGGGGCAGGTGGGCAGCTTGCTTGAAGGTACCTGGGTGGAGAACTTTGCAGAAGGGGTCAAGGCTACCTGCACTGTCATGGAGTAGCTGATAGGCTGACAGCCATGGCCAGCCCAGCAGCTACAGCTGTGTTAATCAGACCACCTGCCTGGAGGGGCAGCTCTGGTGCCAAGAGACAGGGCTTGCCCTTTGTCACACATGTTCCCTGACACTGGTTAATCTGACTGGTTGTCACCTGTTGGACACATGGGCTAAGTGCCATTATAATACAACTGTCATCATCAGGCACATTTGGGAACAGCGAGCAGTGCTCCTCCCTTTATTCTGTGTCTTGGGAAGCAGGTGCCTTGTCTGCCAGCCTGCACAGGGACTGTGACTTAGTCGGATATTGGTTTGGATGCCCATTTTTGTGAATGGCTGGACAGGTGGTATGCAGAGTGTTGTCCCCGTGTGTGTGTGTGTGTGTGTGTGTAAGAGACGGTCCTAGTGAAATGCTCTGTTGTTGACAAGAAGGGCCTCGTTTGCTGGAGGGAGGAGACACTACACAAGCTCACATGGCCAGGAGCCCAGATCTGTGTTGACAGCCAGGTCACGTGGGGACAGGCACTTGAGGTTGGCTGTCCCAGTGTTGCAGAGAAAGGCTGGGCTCTTGACTGCTGAGTCCTCTTCCTGGGAATACCCTTGGGGAGTGAACGACTTTGGAGGAAGAGTCATCCAGACAACCTGGTTGGCATCATCTACAGAAGGCGGTGAGTGCTTCACTGATGGCGGGGATGGTGGGAGAGCCGAGCCATTTGAGGGTGCTGTCATCGGTGGCCCCACCACCAGACCCCCAGCACAGTCCTAGGATGGTGCACCTTCCTGGCTCCTGTGCCACATTGTGGCCCTGTCTCTGTCACATGGTCATCCCACAGAGGTCTTGGCATGGAGTGAGCAGTAGATGATGGTGCTGGAGTAACGTGGGCCTGTGGAGGCTTGGGGGCCGTGCCCCACCTGCTCTGTGCCACCTCAGCATCCCCAGACCCCACTCCAGGGTGTACCCCCTGGCTTCTCACCAGGAGCCCTTCCCTGATTCTGGTCTCAGTCTCACACTCCCTGGCCCGTGAGGGCTGATGCTTCAGTGTCACAGAGGTCTTTGGAAGTGACGACAGGCAGGGTCACTCTGCTGTGGGGGCTCCTTTGTTCTGTGTGGATCTTATGTCTTCGCTGGTTTCCTTTCACCCGCTTCATCTCACTTGTGTGTTAAAAATGGTGAACGAGGCAGGGCCGTGGCTCAGTGGTGGAGTGCTCGCCTAGCGCGTGCGAGGCACTGGGTTCCATCCTCAGCACCACATAAGTGTAAAATATTGTGTCCACCTGTAACTACAAAATAAATATTAAAAAAAAAAATGGTGAATGGAGCCCGTGGACGTAGCTGAGTGTCGGAGTGTGAGCTGGGCGTGTGTGGCACTCTGGTTCAGTCCCAACATGAATGGCCTACGTGTGTCCAGAGAATGTCACTCCAAAGCCCCCAGGTTGGCAAAGACCCGGTGTAAGTCAAGAGGGCAGCCAGCGGCGTCACAGAGGTATATAGCGTGCGTCCCATGAAGCACTCGCATTGTCAGTGTCCGGCCACCCGCGAGCCCCAGTGTGACCCCCTCCTGCTCCGCTCCTTGGCCCTGGAAACGTGTTGACCTGCTTGGTGTCTCCAGTTCTGCCTGTTCTGGGAATTTGGGGATCTCCGCCACCTGGCTCGTGCTGAGGTTCTTCTGTGCGTGTCCGTGGCAGTCTGTTTTTTGTATTGCTGGGAATATTCTGCCGTGTGGGTCTCTCCGTGAGTTGACAGACATTTGGGTTGTTGTCCCTTTTTGGATACTGTAGGAGACTACTGGGGATGTTCAGGTGTAAGTTTTCATTAAGAAGAGCATTCACTTCTCTTGGGTCTTCCCAGGAGCGGGAATGCTGCGGATGTAACCTTCCCCAGCCTTTCCAGGGCCTGGGTGTGGGGCTCAGGGGTAGAGCGCTTTCCTAGCATGCTCCAGGCACTGGGTTCCATGCCCGGTGCCAGGGGGGAGAAAAACACCTGCCAGACCTGTCTCCATCCCAGCTGCACTTTGTTTGTTGGCACTAGCAGCTGGCAAGGGTTCTGGATACTTCTGGATTCACTTGTCCCCACCAGCATTCGGTGTTATCCACCTCTTTGGTCTTAGCTGGCTGGCTGGGTGCATCCAGGGACCTCCCTGCGGTTAGGGTTTGCATTCCCTGAGGAGTCAGGGCACCCCACGTCTTCCCACGCATCTGTGGACCCCTGTAGGTCTTCTTCCTCAGGCCCGTCCACAACTGAATTCCAAGCCATGGTCACTGAGTGCTGCACTCCTGAGGGCCCAGTCCGGCTGTGGTCCCTGCTAGGTGCTGCATATCCCCAAGTGCCTTGCCACCCGGGTGGTGGTCAGGCTGTGGATTGTGGGCCAGGGTCAGCCCTTTCTGAGCTGCCCTGCATCTGCAGCACGGTGATGTTTGTGCCTGTAGTGTCTGGATCGCAGGACCCGCACAGGAGGGGGCCCTTGGAGCCTCTCTCTGGGCGCCATGCATGGCCATAGGGTCTCAGCTGGCCAAGTGACCCTCTTAGCTCAAGGCCATCGTAGAGCTAGTGAAGCCAGTCCCCTCACATTCCGCCCTGTCCCTGCTTGTGGTACCTCCTTTCATGCCCAGTGCTGGGCCTGGGCTCTGGTTCTTGTTCTCTGCACCCCTGTACCCCAGGCTGTTAGCATGCCTCCCTATGCAAAGGGGGAGCCTCGGCCATGGCCTCCAGCTGCGGACCTGGGAGGCGCCTGAGTTCCAAAGGGCAGACTCAGAACTGACCTGGGGGGTGGTGTTGTCTGCTTCTGTCCCCTGGAGCACAGGTGGGTTCTCTCTCCACTAGCCCCTGGTCTGCTCTGCAGAGGGCGGGATCGGCAGGAAGCCCCTGCAGACACAGTGGAGCTTTGCTTGCTGGGAAGACCTCTGACCAGTGGAGCTGGAACCAGGGTCTGAGTGGGGAGGCCAGAGTGCCAAGGAGAGGAGAGCAGGGGACACCAGTGGGCCTGGGTGGGTGTCTTGTGCAGGAAGACGGTTCTGGACCTTGAGGGGATGGGCAGGTGCAGGGGGGCATTGGGGGCTGGGGGTCAAGGTGACCAGTCCTAACCCTCCACGGATGGCTCTGGGACTCGGAGGGTGCCTGCTCAGGGCCCACGTTCTCTCCGCAGTGCCACCAGATGTCTGATCTCTGGGGAGCTAATGCTTCTAGGTTTTTAGTATAGTTTTTTTTCTTTAGAAATTCTGATGTCCCAAGCAGGTGATAGACTGCTCAGAAACTGTGCTGGGGCGCTGGACAGATGAGGGATCCTGGCTGCTGCGCTCCGGGTTCCACTTGAAGGGCGTATTTAGGCGGGACTCAGCCAGTTTAGGGCTTCCTGGGGACTAACGGGGACTGTGAGAATGGAGAAGGGCCGTCTCCACACATGCAGGGGCTCAGGGAGTTTGTGTGATCTGGGTCGCTGCATCCTGTCCTCTCTGTTTCCCGGTAGGACTGTGGGGCCACGGACACCTGAGCCCTGCTTCCCTTCTCTCTCCCCATGGGAGCCACAGGCCAACAATGGCCTCTGAGGACATGGAACACATTCTTGAGTCTGGAGTCCTGGGCCTGCTGCCAGCCTCTCTCTGTTGCCTGCCTGTGAAGCTCCTGGTTCCCCCCCCTTGGCCCTGGCCGTGTCCACTGCGAGAGCTCCTGCTGACCATTCCAAACCCCGCTTCTGGTGGCCTGCCCTGCAATTTCCACACTTGAGCGTGTTTTCTTTCACCTTTCCTAAAATCACTGTCCTTGGGGTCCTGCTCCTTCATAATGGAAACTTGAGCCCACATTTCTAAAGGTCTTTATTGACACCCACCCCTCTTTTTTTGCAGGATTCTCTTTCACTGAGACCATCAATCCGATTTCAAGGAAGCCAAGGGGTAAGTCTTTTTGCCTTAATCTATTTGCGCTCAAGGGAGCTCCGCCGCCTTCAGCCTGCGCTTGCTTCAGGGCACGGAGCAGGCTCAGGGCAGGCAGCGTTTTGGCCCGGTCCACTGCTGTGCCAGGTTGGGGCCCTGGGCCTGTCAGCCTGGCTTGTGTCCAGTTGAGGTCCTCTGGGTGGCCCTAGGCCCATGGCCACCTCAGCCAGGCTCCCAGTGCCCATGGCAGCTTGTTGCTGGGCAGAGGGCAGCTCTCCTCAGAAGGCCCCCTTCCTGAAGCCATTGCCACTGAGCCACATCCCCAGCCCCATTTTGTATTTTATTTAGAGACAGGGTCTCCCTGAGTTGCTTAGTGCCTTGCTGAGTTGCTGAGGCTGGCTTTGAACTTGGGATTCTCCTGCTTCAGCTTCCCGAGCCATTGGGATTGCATGTGTGCGTGTGTGTGTTTGAAGTTGCCATGTTGTACCCACTCTTCCTCCCACCTGGGGCTTCTCACAGCAGGAGGGTGGACGAGATGGTCAGCGGACTTTCCAGAGCCCCTGGGTGCTGCAGTGTGTATCTTCAAGTGCCTGTGTGACCAGGTGTGAAAGGATCCATAGTAAGGAAGTCTCTGCAGCTCCTGAAAGGCTGCAGCCCCTAAGGCAGGTCAGAGGCCCCAGGCTGCCCTGGAAGTGTCTCTCTCCTCCGGAAATCCTCAGTTCCCCCTTAAGGCCTTCAGCTGTTGGGCAGGGCCACTCAGACCTGTGGGTCATCTTTACCTACTTCCACCCAATTGGTTGTAGAGAATAGCTACATTTATAGATACCTCTGTCATCCACCTAAACTGGAGTGCAGTGGATGGTGGGATTCCTGAATCTGTGACTACCTTTTGGCCACCTCCCCCTTACCTTCCCCGGGGGTCAGAGGTCAGTGTCAAGGCGCAGCTGGCCTTGACTTGTGCTTACTTGGCTCCACAGTGCCCCCTGGTGTTCAGAGCCATCCTGACCTCCTGAGCAGTAGGACATTCTTCCCTCCATCCCTCGTTCTCCCAGTCCACACAATGTGGGAGAGGCTGTCCACCAGAAAGGGTGTTTGCAGGTTGAACTTGATGTCAGTAGAACAGTGTCCTCCCTGTGGCCCAGGACAAGCTCAGCCACTGGTGTGCATCTCCTCCTAGTCTGAGCACACAGTGGCCCACCTCACCACTATAGTAAGTGCCATGAGAGACAGGCCCCCAGGAAGCTGACAAGCAGAGCCAACAGATTCTGTGGAGCCAGATTCCCTGAGAGCAGGGCCACCTGTGGCACATGTGGCCTCTGGAGTCACATACTTTGCTGCACTTGCTTTTTGCTCATGTGCCCTTGGGCTTTCTGCCCTCTCGTGACACCATGGCTGTGGCTGTCTGGGGAGCACTGGTAAGCTTTTAACTCCAAGGGGAAATGAAACCCCACCTGGCTGGCCCCACCTCCAGAACTTATCAGCAAAATCCCAGTTGATGAAACAAGAAAGAAAAGTAGTAGTTGTTTTCAAACAGCAGGGCTGTTCCAGATGCTAGGACTGTGTGCAGCAGTGGGGTCTGGACAAAGGTCTCTAGAAGGTCTACAGCACTTGTCTGAGGTCTCTGACCATGTCCGTGTGCCTAAGAGTGGATTCTACAGGAGTAATATTAGTGTTGTGTCCAAGGGTTTAGCCACAGGCATGCTTGATGCTTTGTTGAGGGGGCTCAGGTCCCTCAACTTAGAAATGCCCTAAAAAAAATCAGGGGATAGGGGCTGGGGTTGTGCCTCAGTGGTAGAGCACTTGCCTAGCATGTGGGAGGTCCTGGGTTTGATCCTCAGCACTGCATAAAAATAAATAAATAAAGATATTGTGTCCAACTACAACTAAAAGAAAGAAAGAAGGGGAGAGGGAGAGGGAGAGAGGGAGGAAGGAAGGAAGGAAGGAAGGAAGGAAGGAAGGAAGGAAGGAAGGAAAATCAGGGGATAGCCAGGTATACTGGCGCATGCCTGTAATACTGGCCACTCGGGAGGCTGAGGCAGGAGGATTACAAATTCAAGACCAGCCTCAGCAAGTAAGCAAGTCTGTAAGCAACTTAGCAAGACCCTGCCTTAAAATAAAAGATAAAAAGGACTGGAGATGTGGCTCAGTGTAAAGGACCCCTGGGTTCAATCTCTGGTACCAAAAAGTAATAATAATAAGGGGGTCTCAGAATTAGGAGCATCCTTATGCAGAGACCAAGCAGCCTGGAAACCTCAGGTGGACACAACCTGTAACTTAGAAAACACCTGGGTGTGAGGAGGAAGCAAGACCCTTCACTGGGTGGCAGAGGCTGCTTGCTCCTGGACATCATGGCCAGCCACTCGAGTCACTCTCTTCAGAAAGCATAATGTGCTTCTCCTCTGCGAGTTCACTGGGAACTGAACACAATGAAGAACACAAACGCTACCTGAGCAGCCCTCTGGCTGGAGAGAACCTGCTTGGTCAGAGTCTAGGTCCCTGCATGTGTTACATGGACACACCTGGACCCACGCTGCCACCTGTTTTTATTCTCTCCCCTTTTTTTTTATTCCTTTTCAAGACTGAGGACCAAACTCAGTGCTAGGCAAGCGCTCTGCCACTGAGCTAAACCCCCAGCCCTCTGTTTTTATTCTTTCTTTCTTTATTTTTGTAGTTGTAGGTGGACAGCATGACTTTATTTGCTTTTTTTTTTTTTTTTTTTTTTGGTATGTGGTGCTGAGGATCGAACCCAGTGCCCCACACATGACAGGCAAGCACTCTGCCACTGAGTCCCAGCCCCAGCCCTTTTTTACATTTTATTTAGAAACAAGGTTTCGCTGAGTTGCCAGTGCCTCTCTAACCTGCTGAGGCTGACTTTGAACTTGCAATCCTCCTGCCTCAGCCTCCCGAGTTGCTGGGATTACAGGCGTGTGCTACCGTGTCTGGCCAGTTTGGTTTTAACTGAGCAGAATATTGAGGGATTTTCCCCACTCCTTCACTGTCCTCCCTGACACCAGGACTTAATTTACCTCTCACACCGCCCCCCCCCACACACACCCTGCAGCAGAGACCTTGCAGAGCTCACCTGGGGCATAGGTTGCAGAGGGACATGCTGGAAGGATTCTAGCTGAGACCTGGTCTGAGGTGGGACCAGAGCCCCCTGGTGGCCATGGGTCAGACCAGCAGCAAAGGCTGGAGACTGGAGACCTTGGATGCCCCGAACCCCAAATAACCTGGAGTCGGGGCTGGCATCAGACATGGCAGCCCTGCAGTCCTCCCCTGACGGCCCCTGGGAGACCCTAAGCACATTGGTCACTGGGACTTGACAGTAGCCTGAAAAGGGCAGCTGAGACCTCATCCAGCAGTCACAAAGCCGCCGAGTGGTGGCCGCGCTGTGGGCTCTGGTCAAGAGCAGGGGCGATTGCTCGGCTGACACAGGCTGTGCCTGCGTCCCTGCCCTGCTGTCTCCCAGCTAAGGTTCCTGCTCCACCCGCGGCTGGCGGCCACTAGCCAGCAGTGCTCAGCCCATTCCTCGGGTAGCAGAGTGTGGCAGTGCCTCTGAACCCCGGGCTGGGACTGGAGCGCCCTGGTTGGCAAAACCTTCACCAACAACCAACTCCTGCCTGAAACACTGGCCACAGGCGCCCTCTTGTGCCTTCCTGTTGTCACCAGAGCATGAAGGTCTCCCAGCATCAGTCTCCCACTGTCATTTCCATGCCCTAAGCCTCTTACCTAAAGGGATGCACTTTCATGTCACCCTCTGTCACCCCATGTTTCCCTCACACCAGACCCTGGGAAGGCTCCGGTAGGGTCCTCGGGGTGCTGACCAGGCCCACACTGCCCTGCTTGCTGATGTGGCAGTGTGGGTGGGCGGGGCCTCAAGTGCCAGGCTCACCTTCTCTGTGTGACCAGCCCTGGTCTGGCCCCAGCTCCCTGCCAATCCAGTTTCTTCACTGGAATCAGGTGGGGTCCAAATTTGCCCTGAACAGGGCTGCATATAGGGCCCCCAGCTGCCGCTCATTCGGGGCAAGAGCCACAGGCAGCTTGGGACTTGAATCAGGGGAGCCTCAGTGTCAGCTAGAGTCTGGACCACGTGCGGACTGATGGGCCGAGGGGGCCCGCCCATCCCTGGCTCAGCTGGATCAGGTCCCTTTGGAGTCCCCAGATGTCGCAGTCCTAGGTTCCCTCGCCTGCCATGCGCTGGCCCGCCAGGTCACGTTTGCTCTGTTGCTACAGTGAGTGGGGCGTTCCCAGTCACTCTGCCACTGAAAGGGATGTGTCGGCAGGAAGCAGTGCCTACCTGGGTGAGGAGGTGCCACAGCGGTGTCCAGACAGGACAGGCTGGATGGGCAGGGTCACCCTCACGGCTCTGGCCAAGGCTAAGGAGGGGAAGAGAAAGAGTGTGTGAATGTGTGTGTGTGTGTGTGAGAGCACGCGTGCGTCCTGAGGTGAGTCACAGGCAGTTGGGTTGATTCTCGCCAAGTGCAAGCCACCCCATCCCTCTCTGAACCTAATAAAAACATGTTAGTGTTCAGACAAACACAAGTGGTGGAGGCCAACCCGGCACAGCACCCTGAGGTCTTAGGGTGCATGCCTAGGTGCAGCCTGTGGTGAGCACAACAGGGACATAGGCTCCTTCCCTGCAGGGGTACGTGGGGTGGAGGTGCATAGAGGGGTGTTTGGTAGGCCCTGGGGCTGGGCGGGGCAGGGCAAATGGGATGATCCTTCCTCTGGAGCAGGTTCAGCCTGTGCGAGGGGCAGGAGGGTCTGCGGACCCGGATGGCGGGGCAGCTGTTCTGGTTCAGGGCAGGGCCTTGGCTTGGGCTGCGTGGGGCTTGTAGTGTTTCAGGATGATCCCGGGCTCGGTGCTTCTGTGGCTCCCTGTGTCCCTGCACACCACTCTGAGAGCCACATCCCAGCAGAGGCCATGCAGCAGGTGGCAGGGTGGGCGTCTCTCTGTGTGGCCTGGTGACTCAGGAGCTGTGTTCTTGTGGCTCCCGAGGCTGGAGTGCAGACAGATTAAGCTACCCCTGGGCACATGTGGCTGCTTGGAGATGAGGCCTGCTCCCCACCCCAGCTGCCCCCTCCTCACTGACCATTCATGTCCCCATCTGTGTGTCTGATTAGCTGTGAGGAACTTGTGCTCAAACCCAGGGGTGAGTTTCGGAAGAGTCACCCCTGGTGGCCAGGGCTCTGCGAGACCTTCCTCTCTCCTCCCTCCCTCCTCAGCAGCCCCGGGCCTTCCCCGGGCCTGGGTGGGCTGGAGGCAGGGGCGTGGTGATGCTGTCCTGCGGGGAGCCAGTGTCTGTGCTGGAACTAGGACGGCTGCTCGGCTGTTGTGGCTTCATGCTGGGCTGGACTCATGGTCTGCAGCCAGGCTTACGTGGACTGTGGCACATGTGAACCATGTCACATGTTACCTAGATATGGGGGTCCAGTGCTGCCCATCTTTAAGCTTCTCAGGGCCCACTCCTCTTTATCTGCAGCCACAGGACAGTGAGTGCACTTGGAGTCTGGGAGCCAAGTGGGCAGATTCTGAGGGTCTGCTGGTGCCAGTCCTACCGCATTTCACCTTCCTGGGGCCCAGGCCAGGTCGCTCCATTTGCTGGGTGTGCAAACTGGGTCACTTCCCGGGCAAGCCACCTCCCCAGAGCCAGATGAGCAGGGTGGAGACGCTGCCTCTGGGTAGGTGCTGAGCACTCAGTGTTCACGGTGCCACTGCTACTAAAACTCGAGACAGGGACACCCACACAGGAGCCCAAGGCCCCTCCCTGACCATTGTTGAGGGCAGAAGGTGGGGACAGCCTCTGTCCTGTCACTGCCAGGAATGGCAGAGGTGTGTTTTAGAGGAAGCTGCTGGAGTTCCTGTGGTGAGGGTTGAGTGGCGGCAACTTGCGGGGGGCAGCTGGGCCTGGTGGAGCTGCGGGCCCCTCCTTGTAGCGGGCCTCCCAGTGACCCGCCCTCTGTGCGCAGCACATCTCCATCCCTCAGCCTGACTGCCCCGAGGAGGCGCGGACATTCTCCTTCTACCTCTCCAACATCGGCCGGGACAGCCCCCAGGGCAGCTTCGACTGCATCCAGCAGTACGTCTCCAGGTGAGGCGCCCCTGCCCTGGGGACCCCCAGACCGGGTGCTAGGCCTTGGCTGTGGCCTCTGGCCAGGTTGGGACATGTTCTGTTGAGCAGTGTTGCCCGAGTCGGAGGGGACTGAGCCCCACGTCCAGGTGGGTGTGAGGCAGGGCATGACCACGTCTCCCTGGCCCTGTGTCTTTCAGCCATGGGGACGTCCACCTGGACTGCCTGGGCAGCATCCAGGACAAGGTCACAGTGTGCGCCACTGACGACTCCTATCAGAAGGCCCGTGAGAGCATGGCGCAGGCGGAGGAGGAGACTCGGAGCCGTGGGGCCATCGTCATCAAGCCCGGAGGCCGCTACCTGGGTGAGCAGTGGGGCGAGGCCCGGGCCTGGGGCAGCAGCAGGCTGGTCCAGGCCAGGCGCTGGCTGTTTCTATCCAGAAGTGGTGGGTGGGTCGGCACAGGGGTCAGTCCCTGAGCAGGACTAGATGCCCACACCAGCAACCAGGTCAGAAGGCAAGTTCTAGCCACCTTGGCGGTGGCACCCGAGTTGTAGCAGCTGCTGCCTTGTGAACCCCAAAGTACACACAGGGGCCCAGGATCTCTAGGAGCTCTGATCTGAATTGGTGGGCTTTCCTTGTAGGTTTAGCTTGGGGACCTTGGGGACCTCCACCTCAGGGAAACGAATGGGCTCTGCAGAAAAAGTGGAGAAACCAAGGCTGGGATTGTGGCTCAGAGGGAGAGCGCTGGCCTCGCATGCTGAGGCACTGGGTTCAAGCCTCAGCCCCACATGAAAATAAAATGAAGATACTGTGTCCACCTGTAACTAAAAAAATAAATATTAAAAAAAAAAAGTGGAAAAACCAATAAGCATCCAGAGGGGAGTAAGGCAGTGTCTTTAGAGAGCCCCTCGCCCGCCCCTGCCCTGCCCTGCCCCTCCCCCCGGGGTCGAGGAGTTTAGGATTGGGGCACTGGTTGCTCCAGGCTCTGGGCCGGGGAGGTGAGCAGCTGAAAGCAAGAGAACCTCCAAGGTCTTTTGGTTCATTCTTTTATAAGAAAACACGGGGTGGGGGGCTGGGTTGTGGCTCAGTGGTGGAGCGCTTGCCTAGCACATGGGAGGCACTGGGTTCCATCCTCACACCACATAAAAATGTGTAAATAAAATAAAGGTATATTGATCACTAAAAGAAAATGTAAATAAAAAGAAAACATGGGAAGATTTCACATTCATCCTCCTCCCCAAAGACCTCTCTCTGGATGCATCCTCAGCGGTCACTGCAGGGGCTGGTCCTGGCCATTACTGGGAGAGTGGGTGTGCTCCACGGCCAGAAATCCCTGCCCGCCCCCTGCAGCAGGTACTGGGCTATGAGCCACCTGGCAGTGTCTCCTGGGAAAGAGCAGTGGGGTGCTTTACCCACCTACTCTTGCTTCAAGGTAGAAACTTGAATGTCCACACACATTAATAAATTCACGGGTCTTTTGGCTAAAATGTTGGTTAAAAACTTTCTCATCATGCCACACCAGGCACAGTGATGGTTCTGAAGCAGTTGACATCCTCACGGAAACAGTCTTCGTGAAGACTAAACATGCATGTCCTGGCTCTGGCCCCGAGTGTTTTAGTGTCAGGCCTCCCTGACCCCTGCCTGGCCCATGACTTCCTCTCAGCCTGTGAAGACAGGGGCCAGCCCTGCTCTCTGGACCTCATTGAACAAACCCCAGAGGTGTGAGCGGCTGGCCCTAGGGATTCTAAAATAATTCTGTTTTCTTGTCACAAATCATAGTTTGAGTGACAAGATAAAAAGGAAGTCCTCTTGCCAGGCATGGTGGAGCACACCTGTAACCCTGGCAACTCAGGAGGCTGAGGCAGCAAGATCGAGAGTTTGAGGCCAACCCGGGCAACTTAGTTAAACCCTGTCTCAAAACAAAACTAAAAAGTGCTGGGGATATGGCTTAGTGGTAGAGCACCCCTGGGTTCAATCCCTAGTACCAAAGAAAAGGATGTCCTCATGAAGAGCTTTGTGGCCAAAGTCCTCAAGATTTGCTGCTGAGCTTGCCTGGCTGGGTGCCTTCTGCAGGAGGCCAGGGCAGTGTTGAGGACAGGGTGAATGACTTCTGAATGGAGGTCACACAGAGTTGTGGTATGCTAGACCCTGTTCTGTCTCTGTTCCCTCTGGGACTGAGGGCAAACTCAGTGTCCCCAAGACCCCAAGCACAGCCACGCTTGCCAGAGAAGCACTTACTGGGACCCATGGCTGGGGACCTGCATGCCCTCTGGGGTCTGTGCAGCAGCTGTCTGAAGTGGCCCTGACACCTATTCCTGTTTATTAAAAAAAAGGGGGGGGTACAGCTGTGGGGCTGGTATAGGACTGTGAGATCCAGACTCCAGGGGTACCTGTCTTTAGTTCAGGGACCCCCATTTTAGTATACCTAAAGGGTTCATAGATGCCCTCAACCCCCAGGGTGGCCAAGTCTCCAGTTTCTAGGACTCAGGTCACACTGATATAATTAGTTGAGGACTTGAGCACCTCTGTGTCCTGCACCTCCCACTCTGAGGCTGGGGACCCTGAGGTGACAGGCTGGCTGGCTGGTTAGCAGGTGGCACTCTTGGCCGCCCAGTGCTCAGCTTTGGCTTGGTGTGGGCTTCAGACCGCTGTCTTCCCAGTCCCAGTGCCAGCACAGGGTGCACCACGGGCCGCCCCCTCCCTCTTTCCCTAATTCCCCCGGCTGTCGTTGCAGGCAAAAAGGTTCACTTCCGGAAGCCAGCCCCAGGGGCGACAGATGCAGTGCCTTCCCGGAAGCGTGCCACCCCCATCAACCTGGCAAGTGCTATCAGGAAGAGTGGTGTAAGCGGGGCCAGCGGGGTGTCCCAGAGGCCTTTCCGTGACCGAGTGCTGCACCTCCTGGCCCTGAGGCCCTACCGGAAGGCCGAGCTGCTGCTGAGGCTACAGAAGGACGGCCTGGCGCAGGCAGACAAGGACTCCCTGGATGGCCTGCTCCAGCAGGTGGGCACTGGGGAGGGGCCGCACAGCCCACCCACCCTGAGGCCATGCACCACAGTGGCTTCTGCAGTAGGTGTCTCATGGGGCCGTCTGAGAAGGGCCCTCCTGGGCCTCCTGGCTTAGAACACACTTAACCTGGGGGACGTGCCTCCTGTGTGTTGGCTGACGGGCAGCTGCAAGGCCAGGACCAAGCAGCCACGTCTGCTGTTGCGGGGACAGTAGATCTGAAGCCTGGGGCCTCGCAGCATAGAACTCGGGCTCAGCAGGCAGGTGGCCTGTGGACAGCTCCCTGCCACTCAACAGCTGTGAGCCTAGGCAAGGGGCTTTGTACCTGGGACCCCTGGTCCTCACCCAACAGGTCCTCACCTGACAGGAGTGCCAGCTCCGTCTCTCTCGAAGAGAAGGAGGGGAGCCAGCGAAGGTGGTGGTGGCAGGTGGATCCTGCTGTTAGCAGCACACTGAGCCAGTAGTGCTGTGCTCACTGTCGTCCCAGGGACTCGGGGGATGATGCAGGAGGATGGAAAGTTTGAGGCCAGCCTGAGCAACCTCCTGGCCCTGAGGCCCTACCGGAAGGCGGAGCTGCTGCTGAGGCTGCCCAAAATGAAACTTTAAAAAAGGACTCGGGTGGAGCTCAGCCGAGGAGCGCTCGCCTAGCCTACGGGAGGGAGGCCCTGGGTGCCACCCCCAGCACCGCAGACAAACCCCCTTGCTGCCACCCCTCTCACCAGCACTCCCCACACATTCCCGAGGCCCCACCCTGGCTCCCCAGGCCCCCCAGGCCCCTGGGAAGCCGAGCACTCCTGAGCTGGCTTCCAGCCCTGAGCCAGGCCTGAGGTGGGGGGTGTTCTGCCCAGGAGTGCTGCCATGGAGGTGTGGCCGGGCCTCTTGTCTCAGTGGGTCGCAGCAGGATGTCGAGGGTGTCACCCACCAGCTTGCCCAGTCCCCCTGCAGCTGGGAACACAGGTGGGGCCTCCCGTAGCAGGGAGCACACATCGTGCTGTGCGGTGACATGGCAGCTGGATCTGAGGGTGCATTTCCATATTTGCCACGTTCATTGTCTCTGGTGCAGCCCGAGGCCGGTGGGGACCTCAGAGTGCGGCCTCAGGAGGATGTTGGCCTGGCTGCCACCCACCCAGTCCCTACTCCTTATGTGGAACTGAGGGCGACATCTGTGAAAGGCTGGGCTTCAGGGGTGTCCTGAAGGTGCCGCATGAAGGCAGGGAGGGGAGGAGGGGCCTCTGAGGCCCTGCTGTGTGGACGACTCAGAACACAGGTACTGGGGACCTGTGGTCAAGTGCTTCCCTCAGCCCTCAACCTAGGGAGGTAGTCCCAGGAGACCGCCTGCGCGCCCATACCCCTGACCCCGCATCTCTTGAGAACGCGGCCACCCGAGCTGCTGTCCCTGGAGTGCAGCGGCCTTGCCTGCGGAAACGCTGGGACTTGAGCCCTTGCGGGATGCGGCCATAGCCCAGGAGAACAGCTGAAGGCAGAAGGCTGCTGGCAGGGTGGCTTAGCCCTGGCCTGGGGTGGGCACCTGAGCTTAGGCTGGCTCTGCTCCGGGAGCCACAATCTGAAAGGGAAGGGGACGGGCTGGCATTGGGTCCCGGAAGCTCACGAGTGTAGATGGTGGTGCTTCCTTTTTGGAGCCAGCCTGGCCCCCAGCATCTGTGAGATTAGTAAATCTGGACCTCACGCCCTCACCCCCCTTGTCCCTTATGTGCCTAAAGGTCTAGGGGAGCTGGGAGTAGCGGGTGGCACAGGCAGAGGGGGCCGCCATGTTCTCTCTCCGCTCTGTCTGCCTCCCTCTGTCTCTGCACACCCCGATGCATGTGTTCCGTAGGGCCTGCCTCCCAGGCTCCCTGCACGGTGACGGCTGGCTCTGTGTTGCAGGTGGCCAATGTGAATGCCAAGGACGGCACATGCACGCTGAGGGACTGCATGTACAAGGACGTGCAGAAGGACTGGCCTGGCTACTCAGAGGGGGACCAGCAGCTGCTGAAACGAATGCTTGTCCGGTAATGCTTCCTCCCGACCCCTCCCCGGCACCTCCCAGAGATCTGGGACGACTTCTCATGGTCCCGAAGGCCAGTGGCTCAGGACAGAATCTCCTGGGCACCTTCCCGACTATCCTCCCTGCTGCCCGCAGTCCCACAGCCTCCTGCTGGTTGGTGGGGGAGGTAGCACCCTGGGTGGGGGTGTAAGTCACGTCGCCCCAGCCAAGGAGTCCTCAAACAAAAGGCCTCAGTGTGCCCGGATCAGATCACCTGTGACTGTTCCCCCATTTCCCTCCCGGCTCCTTCAGCAGCCAGCGTCCCCTGAGGCCACTGCTGAACCTCTCAAGAACCCCAAGCTGAGAGAAATGAGGCAAAGCGTGCTCCCTGCAGATGTGATTAAGCAGCGTTAATTAAACACATCCCCTTTCTGACTAATTGGGCCCTAGGGTCAGGAGCAGTGGGCCCTGGGGAGCCGGGGCTGAGGAGGCGGGCAGCTGTCCCCTGCAGGGCTTCTGCAGGCCTGTGTGCTAATTAGACCTGAGCTGTCTGTGAGTTTGGCGTTTTTAGGTGTTTTTAAATGTGGCTGTTTGAAGCAGTCATTGTGTCTAGAAAGCCGAGGGGGTTGGGGATCACTCCACGTGAACCCCAGAGAGCAGCGGCAGCGCTTCCCCTCCTCGCCCCTGCAGTGTCCCTTCCTGGAGCTGGTCGTGGTCCTCGGGTGAGCTGGCCACCTGGAGCCCAAGTATCCTGTGGTGGGTCCTGGGTGCTCAGAAGAGGCTGGCAGAGGACATAGTCTTGGCAGAAGCCCTCCTGCCACCGTCCACACCTGGGAGGTCCCCTGCTACTCCAACCAACCTTGTCCCCGGGCAGCACTGTATCCTCCTTCCTCCAGCTGTTTCCACCCGCCACACACTTAGGCAAAGGACCGAACATTGTTACCATCAATGACATTGACCCGTGTGCTTGGAAGTGCAAGGCTGCACCCAGCCTGCCCCTCCTTTGGGGCCCCCTCCGGCGGTGCTTGCACCCCAGGGGTTCCGTGCCTGCTGGTTTGTCCCAACCCAGGCAGGGGAGCTGCGGGGAGCGAGCCCCAGGCCTGTGTGGGTCAGTGGAAAGCAGCATCTGGGCGTCAGGCAGGGTGTCACAGCATGCCTGCCCCAGCCACCCTGCTCACCTCCATCTGAGGTTGTTTCCTTGGTGAGCCGCTGGCCTGCGGGAGCCCATGGGCGGTCAGCCCTCGATGGGGGCTGGCTGTGGATCGGTGGCCACTGGTGTATGGGAAGAGCGAGCGTCAGTGTCCCAGCCTGTGGCTGTGCAGAGACGCCCCACAGAGGCAGTGTTCGATGTCAAGGCCTCACTTAGACCAGAAGTGAAGACAGGAGCTCGGAGTGTTTCCTTTGTTACAGGGAAGGCTGGGCCTGTGCAGGTCACAAAACAGGCAGGGTGTGGGGACCAGCTCACTACAGGTGGCCCGCAGCAGAGCCCTGTGCCATGCCTCGGCTGCACTGTCGGTTGTCTGCACCCTCTTCTGAGTCCAGCAGCTCGAGCCATTTTTGGTTGTCCACTCCCCGGGCCTCTTGTCCCTTTTGGGAGGTCCGGAGACCTGCACATGCCCTCAGGAACCGATTCCACCAGAACCACCCAGTGCTGGGGGCCTCACCCCAGTCCAGGTGCTCCTCTCTCACCCAGAGCCCCATCCCTGGCCCCGCAGCTGCCCCCTGCTCCTCCCTGGGGTGGAGGGAACACAGTTTCTGGGATTTCTGACTCAGGAAAGGGCTCAGGAGGCCACCCATCTGCCCCTCTTCACACCCCAGCAATAGTCCTACTTAGTGTCAGCCGATGGCCAAGACTAGACTTTCAGAGCCAAAAGCGCTCTCCCTCCATGTTGAAGACCTGGCCTTTGGTCAAAGGCATCCCGACCCAGCCCTTTCTCATCCACCCATGCGGTCACAGGCATGCAGGCAGGAGCTCTGGGTGGCGCCTGTTCCCTCCATCCCATGTGTGGTCCAGAAAAGACGCCACTGCCCTTCCCTCCTGCTTTCTCTAATTCTGCCACTAGGGGGCCGTGGTGCTGGGTGGTCCTGTGTCTTCCCTGTTTTTCTTTCTCTCATACTTTTGGGAGATTTCTTCAGCTTCTCTTAGCCTGTTGTTGTCCTGCCATTACTTCTAGTTTCTAAGAGTCTTTTCCTGTTGCTTTTTGGCAGCATGATGTTCTTTTTTCATGAAAGTGAGGTTATTTCTTGTCTTTTCTCCCCGAGGATATTACAAAGGAATAACAACTTTATTGAGATGCAATTTATGTAACACAAGTCACCCATCTAATGTGAACGATCAGAGAACATTCGAACCTGTGCAGCCATCACTGCTATTCCAGAGCCGTCTCATCACCCCCCCAAAAAAACCCCATCCCCATCAGCAGTCACTCCCACACCTCTCCCAGCCCCTGGCAGCCACTCATGTGTGTCCTGTCCCTGTGGATTCGCCTGTTCACAATATTTCATGTCAGTGGAAGCACATGCTGTGTGGCCTTTTGTATAGGCTCTTGTCACTCAGCATCGTGCTTTTGAGGTTCGTCCGTGCTGTAGCCTGTGTTGGTGCTGTTCCACCAGGTGACTGGACCACGCTGTGCTGATCCAGGCATCTGTTGATGGGCAGTTGGGTGGTTTTCACCTTTTGCCCGTGATGAATGATGCTGCTGTGAACGCTGGAGTCCCCAGCAAGACTCAGCTTGTACCCTAAGTGTCAGGTCATTTTTATGTGCTCCTCATCTCCATGTAAATGAAGAGGCAGTGAACTAACCTCCTCTGGGTGCAGGACACTGAAACAAAATCCCTCAGGCTGGGCAACTGTCTAGAGAGGAGGTTAATTTGGCTCATGATTCTGGAGTGCGGAGTTGGGGGCTGCATCTAGTGACAGCTTTTTGCTGGCAGGTCCTGCAGCAGTGCAAACCGTCCCATATTGAGAAAAAGGGTGTGTGCGTTTGTGTCTGTTTTCTGGTCTCCCCATCTACTCAGGACTCAGTTGTGGGGGCTCCATCCTGATGCCCTTAACTAACCCTAGTCACTCCCCAGAGGCCACCTGAGGAGCCGCAGGCAGATTCAGTTTCTGTCGTCCTCTTACAGTGGGGACCAATCGCCACACAGAAGCCTCGGGGGCCACGCTCAGACCTCAGTGGCACCAAGGGGTGTCCTCCTGTGCCAGCTGGTCCAGAGGCCCTAAGGCTGCTCCCTGCCGCCCCGGGCTCCCCTAATCCCTGGGCTCCCCCACTCCCAGGGCTCCCCCACTCCCAGGGCTTCTCCACTTCCCTGGGCTCCCCCCCCCGGCTCCCCCACTCCCCACTGCACCCGGCCCAGCTCTCATTTTTTGGAGTGGTTTTGGGGGGCACCTCTACTTGGGCTTCCTGGCCAGGGGGTCACTCCATCCGGCACCGCTGCCGAGTCCTCTGACCCGCCCTCCCCCCACTTCTCCTTACAGCAAGCTGTGCCAGCCACAGAACACCAGCCTGCCTGGAGACCCCGTGGCCACCAGCCCCCCGGGCGAGCATGGCAGCTCAGCCTCGCCCCCTCAGGTAGCAGCTGACTGACTGGGTGTGAAGCGCAGGTGGGGGGTGGGTCTCCCCTGTGAGCCAGAGGACCCCTTCTGGCACCCTGTCCGCCTGCCTCCGTGAGGCTCCTGTGCCTGGAGGCTTGGCCACCCGGCTGGCAAGCTTTGGCTACCAAGTCCTGACCCAGGATCTGGGCGCCCCCGTGTGGCCAGAGGGTACCTTACAGGCACTGGGTCTCCCTGGGCCTGGTGCCGCCTGGTGGCTCCCGTGCTCCCTGTAAAATCATCGCCCTTTCTTGGCAGAAACGGCCACAGCCACCTGATTTCATTGACCCCCTGGCCAACAAGAAACCCAGGATATCGCACTTCGCCCAGAGAGCCCAGCCTGCCCTCAACGGGAAACTGAGTGTGCCCAATGGCCGCGAGGCCCTCCTGCCCACCCCAGGGCCGCCGACTAGCACGGACACCCTCAGCTCCAGTGCCCATCTGCCTCCGCGACTGGAGCCCCCGCGGGCCCATGACCCCCTGACCGATGTTAGCAATGACCTGGGCCACAGTGGCCAGGACAGTAAGCGCGGGGAGGCTGCTGCCCCCAGCCCTGCCACTCACCTTGGTCTCCCCCTGCTGACGGACTGCACCCAGCCCGACAGGCCCCACGACAGCCCTGCCCGCAGCCAGCCCAAGAAGAAGTCCAAGAAGCACAAAGACAAGGAGAGGGCGGCCGAGGACAGGCACCGGACCCAGCCGCCAGATCACGCTCCTGCCACCCACAGAGCTCCCCCCGATGCCCCAGGTGGGTGCCCCCGCTCGCCCTCACTCGAAGGGTGTCATGAAGGTCCAGGCTGCTAGAGTCTGAGGGAGGCTGGCCATGCTGCCCGCGAGGCCCTGTCAGGCTCCCCGCACGTGCAGCCTGGGGCCGCTGTGTCCTAGCGGCTGTTCCTCCGTCTGCCCCTTTGGTGTGGGGGTTTGGGGAGCCCTCAGGGCTGAGACCTGGTGCTGCTTTCACTGCCCGTGTGCAGGCCACGGACCAGCAGGGAGCAGGGCTCACAGAAGGGGATCAGTGTGGAGAGGAACACGCTGCAGGAGACTCTGGCTGCTGAGAGACAGCAGGGGTGCTGGGGGCTGCTGGGGCCCAGGGAAGGAAGTGGAGGGACAGGGAAGCCAGCTCTACCCAAGCAGATCCAGGGTGGAGAGGACAGCACCTGGGCTGTGGTCAGCTTGTGTGGCTTGTGGAGGAGCTGGGTTTGGGCACATGCAGGAAGGATTTAGAAGGCATTGCAGGGTCTCCTGGCAGGGGTGGGAAGCCCTAGGGGACCCAGAAACGGGTTCCTAGCGACAGGACCAGGGGGTGAAACATGCCAGGCCCTGTGCTGAGCAGGGGACCCTCTGGGCCTTGCATGCTGGGCAGGGGCTCAGGCACTGGGCCACACCCGGCCCAACAGAGGAAACTTTGTGATGGGGAATCAGTGTTGGGCTACTGAGGGGTGATGTGGGCCAGCACAGTGCTCTCCAGAAAGGCAGGGCTGGCAGTGAGGTCTTCTATACCTAGTGCCCAAGATCACAGCCCTGGGGACTTGAGCCGAGCAGGCAGTGGCCTGTCCAGCTCAGTGACCCCTGGTTCCTGCTGATTTGTAGAAAACAGCATGGACTAGCACAGTGCACCACGCCAGCCTCATTCGGACACTGAGCAGCCACACGGGGTGGGGCCTCCTGGGGCAGTGGCATCCGAAGTGGCTGCCTTGCTCCCCAACACTGGCTGGCCAGGGCAGCCGGGGCTGTGCCACCTGTTGCTACTTCAGCATTGTTTCTCTGGGCATGATCCCAGGCGGGGGTTCCTGGGACTGTGGCTTTGATGAGTTGTCCCACTGCACCCAGGAAGGCCACACCTCCCCGGCCTCTGCCAGGAACAGAGGAATAGGAGCCCTGCAGGGTCCTGCCAGGTGCAGGTCAGCCCTTGGGCAGCTCCTCCCAGGCCCTGGGAGACCCCGTGCGAGTAGCAGGGAGGGGGTGGGGCCAGCGGGGGCTGGAGCGCTGCTAGGCCGAGGCCCTCCTTCCATCCCCAGCGCCAGACAGTTAAAAGGGAAGTGCAGCATGGCACCAGCAGCCATGCCAGCGCAGAGCCCACTGTCTCCAGGGCCCAGGTTGGTCCGGGTGCGGGGTAGGTCCCAGGGCCCCCACCCAGGAGCAGAGGACAAGCCGGTGGAGAGATGGGAGAGAAACGAATGGGTCATGTTCCCAAAGAAGCCCCCTGGCAAGAGCAGCTCAGCAGGCCATGACCAGGGCCTGGGCTTGGCACAGGGGCCACAGGGTTTGGCAAGGGCCAGACTTCAAGGTCCCTCCTGCCCTGGGTCAGGCTGGCCCTGAGCCTTGGTTTGCCTACTTGTCATCCCATTTGAGAATCTTGAGGGTTAGATGAGCTGGTGCCAGCTGGGCTTGGCATATGGCAGTCACGTGTTCCAGAATGCCCAGGGAGGCCCTGCTCACGCTGCCCGTGGCATGGCAGGAGCATGGGCTACACATGGCAGAGATGCCTTGCTGGCCACACCCCTCACATGTTGGCACAGCTGTCCAACTCGTGCCCTGTGGGCTGAGGATGGGCATGCGTGGATGGCCGTGCGTGGCTCAGGGTGGGGATATCAGCTTAGAGCCCTGGGGAGACTGTTCTGTCCACTTGTGGCCGTCCTGGAGGGGACTTTCAGAGGGGAGTGAATGCACACCGAGGTCAGGCCTGTCCCAAGAGCTGCCCTGCAGCCCTGCAGCCCCGCCTGAGGGGAGCAGAGGGAGCGAGCTCTGGGCCACCTTCAGGCCGTGGGCGCCTCAGCTGCGTCTGGGACCGCGGCTCGGGGAACTTGCTTGTCCTGGCAGACGCCCAGGCTGCTCTCCTCTCACCGGCATTGCCTTACAGGAGTAGGGCGTGGGTCCCCGAAGGTCCACGGAAAGGGCCAAGAAGTGGGAGGTCCTCTGCCAGGCAGAGCGGTACTTCATCCTTCCCGCTCCACACCACAAAGGGACACACTCATTTCTGTACTGGGAAGGGAGAGCGTGTTCTGGAGAGAAAGGGCCCCGGGGAAATGAGCCTCATTCTGGTCACAGCGTGTGGGTGGGGGCGAGGGCACTTCTCCCTCCCCTCCCTGGTCTCCAGCAGCTTTGGGGTGTCATGTGATCTTGCCAGGGCAGCACACTGGCGGCAGGTATGAGTGTGGACTGCGTGGCCTTCACTAGGTCCGTTCTGCCTAAAGGGCCGCATGTTGTCGATCCCATGTCCCTGAGCTCCACCCCAGGACCTCCAAGCAGGTGGCCCCTGCTTCTCCAGCACAAGCTGCAGCCCGGCACCTGGTCGGAGGAGCAGGATGCGGGGCTGCGTCTGTGGCCAAAAACCAGGACACCCCAGGACCCAGGCCAGGCAGGGACCATTTGTTTCAGCTCAGTGACCTTTAACCTACTGTCAGTAGAAGCAGCAGAGGCCTGGTGCTGTCCAGCTCCAGAAAGGGACAGTGACGCAGCCACCCTGACCTGTCAGCTGCTCACTGTAGGTGTCCCTGAGGCAGCATCTGGGCGCACATGCTCTGTGGGGCTCTGGCCTGCCCTGCCCTCCCCTCAAACCCTCCTGGTGGCCTCGGCACAGCACCCGCTCTGCCCTGCCTCTGCGGTATGGGCCTGTCCCGGCCCCGCCCCGGGCAGCACGGATACCCGGCAGCTGTGCCTTCCTCTTGCAGGTCTGAACGGGACCTGCGGCAGCGCCAGCGTGCCCTCGTCCACATCAGAGACACCAGACTATCTGCTGTGAGTACCTCGGGAGGGGCTCCGCTTCTCTGGGGCCAGTGTCCCCAGCTCCTCAGCTTGGCAGAGGCTCCCCTGGCTCCATGTTTGTTCTGTGAATCCCAGGACACAGCTGTGGCTGGGGTGTCCTGGGATGGCCATTGGTGGCTCTCCTCAGGAGCCCCCTGAGCCCTGATGGCCCCTTTCTTTCCTCTCCTTAGAAAATACGCGGCCATCTCCTCCTCCGAGCAGCGCCAGAGCTACAAGAACGACTTCAACGCTGAGTACAGCGAGTACCGCGACCTGCACGCCCGCATCGAGCAGATCACGCGGCGCTTCACACAGCTGGATGCCCAGCTGCGGCAGCTCTCGCAGGGCTCCGAGGAGTACGAGGTAGGGCCGCTGCCTCCCTCAGCCCTCCCAGGAGTCCCTGCTGAGCCTGTGCCCTGGGGCGGGGGACACACAGGCATTGCCCTCCCTGGTGTCACGCACGGCCAGCGCCAGATAGTAACCAGCCCGTCACAGGTGTCCTCACAGATAGCCAGGCCCACCGGCCCCCTGTGCAGGCAAAAGAGCAAGATGAGCTGAGGCGCGCAGGTCCTCTTCTCAAACCCAGGACCCGGGACTCAGGACCCCACATCATGAGCAGGACTACAGGTGCCTGGCCCTACCTAGAGCCTGTGATCGCAGAGGGCAGAGGGCACTGAGGGGGGTGGCGGCTCCTGTAGCTCCCTGACCCAGAATCCCGGCCCCGGGGCTCAGGAACGTGGCGCCTCCTCCGCTGCAAAAGCATCTCGTTGAGGAAGGAAGTTGCTGGCTGGGTGTGGCTCGGTGGCAGAGCGCTAGCTGGCATGAGGGCCCTGGGCGCCAGCCCTAGCAGTGCTACAGGAAGAAGTAGCTACTCAGTGCCACTTGTTAAAGCAGGATAAGGAAAAGGGACAGGGCCACCTGGAAGCCACCATAGGCTTGCGGGGAGCAGGGCTCAGCCTCCACATAGCCCAGGCAGGTGGGGGTGAGAGCAAAGAACCGGCCTCAGAGGATGGAAAATGGCCGAGAGGGAACCTGGGGTGGATTCCGGCCAAACCAACCTGACAGGATTCTTGCTGCGACACGGGGGCTGCTGGGGATGCGGGACCCTGGGGCGGACCTCACGAGGAAGTGCTCAGGCGGGCTGTGAGAAGGGTCAGGACCTGACAAGTTTGGCTGACTGACAACCTCCAATCAGGCCCCGCACCCAGTCACCGATTGTCCCCACTTGCCACCTTTCAGAGCTGGTTGCCCGACTGCAGGGCTGGCCCTGGTAAGGGTCAAGGTTTGTGTCCCCTGCCGGAGGTCAGTCTGATCTCCAGAGGACTGGAGGGATGATGGGGCTCTCTGAGGGCTTCGGACCTACACGCTTCCTGCAGCCCACGTGGCCACTCCACAGCAACCCCTTTGCCCCTGGAACTGTGGACAGACCCCGCTGGGCTTGGGGGAAGGCAGTCGCTCTGCCCCGGAGGTTGCCCCAGCTCCCACAGGGCACATCCGCCACATGGCCGCTGCTCTTTCTGAAGCTGTGCAGAGCACCGACCGAGAGGGCGGCTCAGCCTGGCCTCCTTCAGATGCAGACGTGACTCATGTTGTGTTCTGTTGTCCCTCTAGACCACTCGCGGGCAGATTCTGCAGGAATATCGAAAAATCAAAAAGGTGAATAGTCATGTGTTGGGCAGTTGGGGTCAGCCGCACCAGGTTCCAGACGAGTCTGGAGCAGGAGGGTGGACTCAGGTCTCTGATCCGCAGGGTGCCTCTTCCACCAGAGGGGCCGAGCCTGTCCTGAGCGGAGCTGGTGCCCAAGGTCGGGTGCGGGGGTGGGGGGCCTCAGGGGCCCTGTCTGTAGGAAGGGAGCCACCACATGGGCTTGGCTGAGGGGACCCTGCTCTGCTGGTGGACGAGCCGGCATCTCAGCCTGCAGGGTCCCAGTCCTAGGAGGACCCTCACATGCTGGGCACAGGCGAGCAGGGGCCGCATGCCTGGGCAGCCTCAAGCCCCGGTGCGGGCGGCTGACTCCCGCGTGGCTCGCTCTCTCGCAGACCAACACCAACTACAGCCAGGAGAAGCACCGCTGCGAGTACCTGCACAGCAAGCTGGCGCACATCAAGAGGCTCATCGCCGAGTATGACCAGCGGCAGCTGCAGGCCTGGCCCTAGCCGGCACCCTCCACCTCACGGGCCCTCTGGGTGCCAGGGGCTGGGGGGTGCGCGTGGGAGAGAGGATTTATTTAAAACAATAAACACGGGAGATGTACGCATCTGAGCCAGCACCACGGCTGTCAGGGAGGCCTCGCCATGCTCGCCCAGTGGGGTGGCCGAGGCCCGCCCTGCCTCCCTGCAGGCCAGGCCCACGGAAGCCCACCTTGGGGTCCCACTTCCCCTCTCGCCACAACCGAAGACCGGAGGCCAGCCTGCCTGCCTTTTCTAGTTTTATACAATGTCAGCCACTTTTAGCTACTGCTAGAGACTCAAGTCTATTTTTGTACAAAAGAGAAAGCAAAATCTTTTTTTCTAAACCTGTGCCTCCCTCTCCTTGGACATCCAGGGTCTAGATGTTACCCTGTGTCCTTTCCCGCAGTATTAAGACGCCATCGAAAGGCACAGCGCTGGGGACTTCCCAGGAGAATCCGAGCTGGTGGGCCAGGGCCCCGGGGCTGGGCAAGGTCTCTGCTCCAAAGCCACCTTCAAGGCTTCGGTCAGGGGGACTCTACCAGTGCCCCTGGAAAGCTGCTCAGAGCTGAGGAGGCTGCGCTCCGGGCCCCTGCCAGTCCTGCTGTTTCAGGGCCGCGGGTGTGTTGTGCTACAAGCTGAAGTCCTCGGCAGCGGCAGCACGATGTCCCAAGGTCCTCGGTTTCCCCCTCGCAGCTGCTCTCGGTTCCGAGCCGTCAAGGCCGTGCGGTTTCTGCTGACCGTGCCCTGGCCCTGGCTCCATCCACCTGTGCGTCCTGGGGTTGTGCCAGCAGGGCCACCGCTGGGGCTTGCACTCAGGGAGGGGCTGGGAACCCGAGGACACGCCCTATCTGTCCTCTCTGGGGCACAAGCTCCACAGATAACCCAATTGCTGCTTTGTTGCTGTGCCTAGTCTCTTAGTGTCCCCCAAAGCATTGGGGGACTGTGTGTGTGTGTGTGTGTGTGCGCGCGCGCGTGTATGTGACCCCTACAAGGTGTGGGGGGCGAGGCGAGTGTTCACATTCAGGGCCAAGCGAAGCCATGACTCGGGAATGTGGTGGGGGCTGCTGTGACCAGGGTCAGTCACGGTGGGGGGGCGCTGCCGTCCACAGCAGTGAGGCGGGAGGGCGGGCGGGTAAACACAGATGCGTCTATTTTTCTAAACCGTGGGGGTGTCTCCCAGTGGCTTCCAAAGAGCTGGCGCCTGTGTGGAGGCGCCTGCGTATGTCCCACCCGCCCCAGTGTCTTTCCTTTGGGACCCCTGGGGTCCCCACATCTCTGAGGAAACTGATCCTTTATGTTTCAATAGCTGTTATTTTGTTTGGCATCTGGGGTGGGGATGGCGGCCCAGGCGGGCTCTGCCCCCTCCCTCGGGGGTGGAAGGACTTGCTGAAGGAGGGCCGGCCGCCTTCCACCGCCCCATCCCAGGCCCCGCAGAGTTCGCCTCTCCTGGGCGTCTGCATCCTCCTCCTCGGAGGAAGCTGTTGTGCCTCGGGGTTGATGGACGAAAGTTCTAGCTGATTAAAGATGGTCTAACTTATTGACGTTTTTTCCTTTTAATGTTGTACTGTGGAGAAAAACTATTTTGAGCCATGGAGTTGGTGTTTACAAGAACTTTTCACTTTTGCCAAAATGTTACAGTTGAAAGGCGTCGCATCTTCAGTCCCCTCGTATTTTCTTAAGCACCTGGTGTCCTTTTTGTACACTCAACACGGGAATGCTGAGTTTTTCAACCTACAATAAATTTCACTGAACTGAACCAGCCGCCCCTGGCTGGCTTGTGTGTGTGTCACAGCCGGGTCCTGCGGTGGCCCCAGGGAGTCCCTGGTCCTGGGCTGGGGGTGGGCTGGGGCCGGGCTGGGGCCAGGAGGTGACTTGGCCAGGAGCCTCCGTGGTGATGAGGGGCGTCCAGCGGGCAGCCCGCGCGCCCTCCTGAGGCTACTGGCCGGGAACAAGGGACCAAGGCAAGCGGCCTCTGCGGGCGCCACAGGGCCAGACCCCTCTCCATGAGTGGGAACAGAAAGGGCGGCAGAGCTGGCGCTGAGCACAGTATGTCTCCTGCCCAGTCTGCACAGGGCTGCTGAGTGACACACAGGAGTGAGACCAGGATATTTAGGGGAACAAGCTGTGACTCACCCCATTTCTGGGGAAAACAGCAGCAGGTCGCCTGTGGCTGGGCCCCAGCTGAGGGGGAGGCTGCGCAGCCCAGGAGTCCAAAGCCACCCCCGGCAGCAGGCGATAGATATCCCCTCAAAGACACCGAAACCAGCTGTAAAGAAGGAAGCAGTGGCCATGGTGGGGTTCGTTGTGTGTGACTCCCAGGCTGGCACATGGGGCTGGCTTGTCCCCCTGGTGGCAGTGGGAGTGCTGAGGTTCAGCGGGGTGGCCATCTGGGCCTGTGTTCCAGGCGAGGAGCTGGAGGACGCAGGCGCTGGGCCTCCAAGGACAAGGTGGGGGCTGGGGTGTTTATTTTAAAAAGGAAAAACAAAGGCGCGCGGAGGGCAGGGGCCTGGGGCCGCTGCAGCCTCTTGGCCCGAGTTCTGAGGCAGCCAGGAATCCGCGGGGCGCAGGGGGAGGCCGGCCGGCAGCGAGGCAGAATGTCCCCTGCTTCTAAGATGCTCTGGACCCCGTTCTTCCGGGGACAACACCCGTCTCCACACCTCAGGGCCAGCACCTGCTACCTCTGGCCTTGCCGCTCTGCCTGGACCATAGGCCACTGAAGCTAGTCTGTCCCCCGCTGTCCTTCCTGAGGCCTGGACCCCTGGGAGCTCAGGAGGGTGTCTCCTTCCTGGTGACCTGGACACCAAGGCAGAAAAGGGCTGGGGCTACCGCCACACTCCTCCTCCGGCTGGACAACGCTCCTTCCTTCCTACCTCTGTCACCACAGTGACCCTGGTCCACGGGCCCACCAGTCCCCTCCCTCAGCCTTGCCACCCCACAGCCCCTACCTTCACCTCCCAGCACCAACTGCCAGGAAGGAGGCGGCCCAGGGCCAAGGCCATGTTGCTTCCCACTGACCTGTGAACTAATGGGGCTGCCTCCTGCCCCCACCCAGCCCGCCCTGGGAATGCCAGGCCTGGGGGCCTTCCTCATTGCTGCATATGTCCCCATGGTGCCATGTATGGCCTCAAGCTGCAAGCATGCCCTCATCCCCTGATGTCCGACCCCAGGTGAAGAGGCTCAGCGCACAGGCTGCCCCCACTTCAGACCCTTGGACATTCCTGCTGCCGACAGGACAGCTCTGCCCAGCCACAGGCTGTTCAGGGGACTCCCAGGACCCCCGCCTTGGGTTGGATGACAGCTCACAGAACTCGGGGACTGGCTGACAGCCACACAGGGGACATGCGAAGGGCATGATGGGGCCTTGGACCTCCCTTGCTCTCTCCATCCATGCCACCACCCAGCGCCACCACAAAGGCACCCAAACCCTCCTTAGGGGACTGTGCGGAAGTCTTGTAGGGCCTGCAGTGCCTTTCCTCACCCCGGTAAAGGCCACCACCCTGACTCCTGTGACGGAGGACCACAAGGTGCTGGAGCGGAGCTCAATGGCAGAGCAACTGCCTGGCACGCAGGAGGCCCGGCTCCCATCCCCGGAGTAAAGAGAAAAGAACAAACTCGCTAGATCGAGGTCTCAGGTGACCAGGAGCCTTCAGAAACAGAATCCAGGGGGACACGTCCTGGGCTTGGGCTCCATGAAGCACAGACAGCCGTGGAGAAAGGTATTGGACAAAAGTGGCTGTTGTCATGGAAACAGGTGGGACTGGACGCCCAGCGAGGCCTGTCCGTCCAGATTCTTCTCGCCTCCTTCTGTGGGGAGTCCTCCCTCCCAGGGATGGGGCAGAACTCCTGGAACTGGGATCTTATCTGCTACCAGACCAGGCAGGTCAGCAACGCAGCTCCGAGGCATTCTTGGTGCTATGGGTGGGGGAGACAGGTGCCGTGGGGACAAGCATTCCGGTTGCATGTCAAAGTGGCATTTTGGGGGAGCTGGGTTCTGAGCTCCAGTGGTGTGATTGCATAGATGTGATTGGTTAATCTAACTTATGACATGATGTGTGATTGAACTCGAATCTCCCAGAAGCCAGGGAGATACCAGATGTTCTCCTAGCAGCCCCTGGGGTCAGCATGGTCTCCAGACTGGTGCCTGCCTTCCATTGCCACCTTGTCATCAGAGTGGGAGCCCCTTCCCCAAGGCTTTTAGGTGACTCAGGTACCTGCTTATAGTCTTCTCCAGGTGAACTCCTCTTCATACCTCAAAACCCCTTCCACCAGCCACTTCCTCTGGAAACCCTGCTCTGTAGAGCCTCCTCTGTGAGTTCCTTCCAACTGGAGGTGCCCCAGTCCTGGTCCCCTTCCTACTTCAGAGTGGGGCCCTTTCCAAGAGCCAGACTCTTGGAGCCCCCAGTCCCCAAGACCAGGCCCCCGGCTGCCTTTCCTGCAAACATTCCCAAACTCTCCACCTTTTGGGCCAGCTCCAGTGGTGGAAACTTTCCGGCTGGCTTGTTTTGGAAAGTTCCTTGGGGGAGCCGCCCCCGCTTGCCCGCTGGGTTCCCACGCTCCCTTATCACTGTGCATGAGGGGGGCCTCTGGTGTGCTGTCCCGGCTCCTCCCCACACTGGCGGTCCTCTCTCCTCCCTAGTGACCAGCCGTGTCTCCAGCCCGCTACTCCTCATGCATGTGAAACCCCGCTGAGGCAGAGGAAATTTGGTCCACCCGCTCCAGGTTCATGGGGCCCAGAGATTCGGAGTACTGAGTGGCGGCCACCGCTCACAGAGGAGGCCGGCCTGGCTTCCAGGTCTGTTTCCCCTGCAGTATCACAGACCCGGGCCCCTCCCTCCACAGCCGCAGCCTTCCTGCGCAGCCCCATCCTCCAGCTTGTGGCCGGGGTCTGGGGCTCAATTGTAGCCCCATCGTCCTCTTTTGTAAAATGGGAATAAGCGGCCGCGTGTCCAGAGGACCCCTAGAGAAGAGAACCAATGCCGCTCAGTGGTGACCCGGCCGCTTCCGGCCTGACCGGGCCTCGACAGTTCGGCCTAGAACCCCTGCCCCCGCCGTCGCGCCCCTCCCCAACAAGGCGGGGGCGGGGCGGGGGGCGGGGCCGCGGCGCTTTTCTCCCGAGGCCGCTCCGGAGCCCGCGCTGTCCGCCGCCGCGGTCGGAGCTGACTCCTCGAAGGTGAGCGAGGTCTTGGACGGATTGGGGGCTTCTTGAGGACCCAGGCCGGCTTGGGCCGGTCACCTGGGGTCCCCGCTGACCCTCTGCTAACCCGGGCCCCAGGTCGCCGCGATGGAGGCAGCCCCCCAGTTCGTGGTCGAGAGCCCGGACGTGGTCTACAGCCCCGAGGCCATCGAGGCTCAGTACGAGTACCGGACGACGCGCGTCAGCCGTGAGGGCGGTGTCCTCAAGGTGGGCGAGGGGCCCAGGAGCCTTGGGTTGGGGACACTAGGGAGATGATGGCGGGGGATTGTCCAACATCTCCAACCCTCTCCCTGCCTTGAGGGGAGAAGAGGCTGGGGCCCCAGTCTTACGACGACGCCTGCCCCCAGGTGCGCCCCACGTCCACGCGCTTCACCTTCCGGACTGCCCGGCAGGTGCCCCGGCTTGGGGTCATGCTCGTCGGCTGGGGCGGGAACAACGGCTCCACGCTTACCGCCGCCGTGCTGGCCAACCGACTGCGCCTGTCCTGGCCCACGCGCGCTGGTCGCCAGGTGGGGGGCCGCGGAGGCCCGGCCGCGGAGGGGGGCTGGGTCGGAGTTCCTGCGGGCGGGGAGGGGGCCTGCTGGGGGCGGGGCCTGGCTGCCGCGGACCTCCTTGGGCGTTCCAGAAGGTGGGCGGAGAGCCGCAGGAGCCTTGTGAGGGCGGAGCCTTAGGCACGGCGGGCTCGGGGAACCCGCTGGGGAGGAGATGCTTCCGCCCCGGCCTGGAGCCCGGAGCTGAAAGCGCAGGAGGGCAGGGCGGAGCCCCGGGCAGGCCGCGGGCCCTCCTCTCGCCACGCCTGCGCCTTACCCCGCTGTGTCTCGTTCCCCCCACCACCCAGGAAGCCAACTACTACGGCTCGCTGACTCAGGCCGGTACCGTGAACCTGGGTCTGGATGCTGAGGGCCAGGAGGTGTTCGTGCCCTTCAGTGCGCTGCTGCCCATGGTGTCGCCCAACGACCTGGTGTTTGATGGTGGGCGGAGCCCTGGGCGGGATGGGAGGTGGGGTCTGGAGCAGCTGGGGATCAGGGCTGGGCCAAGCATGAGGGTCCCCCGCAGGCTGGGATATCTCGTCGCTGAACCTGGCTGAGGCTATGCGGCGCGCGAAGGTACTGGATTGGGGCCTTCAGGAGCAACTGTGGCCGCATATGGAGGCCATGCGTCCACGGCCCTCGGTCTACATCCCCGAGTTCATCGCGGCCAACCAAAATGCGCGTGCTGACAACCTCATCCCGGGCACACGCGCACAGCAGGTGTTGCCTCATCCCGCATCCCTTGTTCCCTGCCACCAGTTCACTCCCTTTTGCCTCATGCTCCTATCCTGGGCACCCAGGCCCCACTTAGTACTTTGGAGAACTGAGTGGCCCATGCTTCTGCAAACCGTGGGGTTTGTACAACCTCCCCGCTAGCCTTCCTTCACCCTCCCTGCAGTTGGAGCAGATCCGCAGGGACATCCGTGACTTCCGATCCAGCGCCGGGCTGGATAAGGTCATCGTGCTGTGGACAGCGAACACAGAGCGCTTCTGCGAAGTGGTTCCTGGTCTCAATGACACAGCCGAGAACCTGCTGCACACCATCCAGGTGGGCACATGCCAGGGTGCAGTAGGGTGAGGGCCAGTTCCTTGGACCCACCTCTTACTGACTGCCCACCCACACCCGCAGCTTGGCGGAGAGGTGTCACCATCCACGCTCTTTGCGGTGGCCAGCATCCTGGAGGGCTGCGCCTTCCTCAATGGATCCCCGCAGAACACACTGGTGCCCGGTGCGCTTGAGCTGGCAGCGCAGCATCGAGTGTTTGTGGGTGGAGATGACTTCAAATCAGGCCAGACCAAGGTCAAGTCTGTGCTCGTGGACTTCCTCATTGGCTCTGGCCTCAAGGTAAGTCTATCTGGGGAGGTGAAAAATGCAGGAAAGGAACCTGGACCCGAAGGACCTACCTAGTTCCCTGCAGGGCCTAGGGCTTCTGTGCCACCTCTTTTGACCAGACCATGTCCATCGTGAGTTACAACCACCTGGGCAACAACGATGGGCAGAACCTCTCGGCGCCCCAGCAGTTCCGCTCAAAGGAGGTGTCCAAGAGCAGCGTGGTAGACGACATGGTGCAGAGTAACCCAGTGCTGTACGCTCCAGGAGAGGCGCCTGACCACTGCGTGCGTAGGGGTCCACAAGAGCCAGGTGGGGGGCTTCTGGCTGGAGGTGGCAGGGGCCCTTGCGACCTGGTATTGCACCCTAGGTGGTCATCAAGTATGTGCCCTATGTGGGTGACAGCAAGCGTGCGCTGGACGAGTATACATCAGAGCTGATGCTTGGTGGAACCAATACACTGGTGCTGCACAATACTTGTGAGGTACAGTGGGAGAGACGGCGGGCGGATCTGAATGGGAAGCCCCACCCACCCCACAGCCTCCTGACCGGCCCACCCCACAGGATTCGCTGCTGGCAGCGCCCATCATGCTGGACCTGGCACTGCTCACTGAGCTGTGCCAGCGCGTGAGCTTCACCACCAACACAGACCCAGAGCCACAGGGCTTCCACCCTGTGCTATCGCTCCTCAGTTTCCTCTTCAAGGCTCCACTTGTGCCCCCAGGCAGCCCGGTGGTCAATGCGCTTTTCCGCCAGCGCAGCTGCATAGAGAACATCCTCAGGTGCGCTGGGTTCCAAAGCTCCCACCCATGGCCCACATATCCATCCACTCATGGGGCTGTGCACAGGGCTAGGGGGCTGGAGGCTGCAGAGGTCACCAGCCTGGAGGTTTGGCCCTGCTGATCCCAGCCCTGTCCCCCAGGGCCTGTGTGGGGCTCCCCCCACAAAACCACATGCTCCTGGAGCACAAGATGGAGCGCCCAGGCCTGGGCGTCAAGCGAGTTGGTTCTGTGGCCACCGCCTGCCCTCTGCCTTGCAAGAAAGGACCAGCGCCCATTGCCCCCAACGGCTACACCGGCGATGCCAATGGGCACCCACAGGCAGAGGCACCCCAGATGCCCACAGCTTGAAGCTGCAGTTGCAGACCCCCAGCCCCTCCTCTCACCCCTCTGGGGCCATCCTTTCGAGGTCCTGTAAAGACAATAAAGTCAATGCCCCTATCAGACAAACCTCCACCTGTGTGGTGTGTCCAATGGTCACCCGCTGCTACGGTCACCCCCAAACCTGTCCAGCATCAGCTAGACACCTAGCTTCTACCCCACCCTCTTTTCAGCTGGTCAAACTCCTACCCACTCTTCACAGTTATTGTCCCAATTCCCAGGAACCTCCCAGCCCTGGGGGTGGCAGAACAGCAGGGTGGAAGATGTGGCTGCAGGTCCAGGCCCAAGTGAGAATCCAGACCCGGCTACCAAAAACCAAAACCAGTTACATTTATTGGAAGGGTCCACCCTTGCTGTCCTGGGGAGAGGGGGCCACCAAGGAGCCTCCCTCTGACGAATCGCGAGCCGCGGGAAGGGCCCACGTGGGAAACAACGTCTCTGAGGTCCTTGCGTTTTTATAAAATGAGAAAGTCCTGTGGGGCCTCCCAGCTGTCCAAGCCTGGTTGGCCAGGTATCCAGGTGCCAGAGGTGTGACCTCAGACCCTCGCCCCGGGTAGGGGCACTGAGCAGAAGCCGAGGTGGGCAGAGGGCTGGGGCCGCAGCCCCATCACACGCTCATGGTCATCCCTGGGGAGTACTGCAGAGAGAGGAGGCGGCGCGCAGGGGCGGGCTCAGTTCTCGCCTCGGCTGGGACCCTCCCCCACCTCCCCCCCAGGAGAAAGGGAGACTGGGAAGAGCAGGGCCGACCCGGGGAGGGGAGGGGCGGAGCAGGGCAGGGCGGGATGCAGGGGGAGGCTGTCCTGGGGCTCTTGGGGGGAGGGCAGGGGCGGGAGTGGGCGGGGAGTGGAGGAAAGGATGCCGCGGCCGCCCCCCCCACCTGGCCCGCCGCGGTCACGGTCTTGCTCTGGCCCCCCGGCCGCCCCGCCGGGGCCTGCCCGCCAGGCCCCTCCGGCCCGACGCCGCCGCGGGGGGAGAGTCGACGCAGTCGCTTACGCTTTCGCTCGGGAACGGGTGCAGGAAGGTCCCGGCGGCCGCCATCTCGCCGTCGTCCCGCGGGGTGCCCGGGGCGTTGCTCAGGCCGGCCACGGCACCGGGGGAGCTCTAGGGGCGGCCACCGTCAGCGCCGAATCCCCGCCCGCCCCCACCCAGACCTCCGCCCGGTTCGCCCCCTGCAGGAGCGCAGCCCTCACCTTCGGCAACCCGTCCATGTCGCCCGAGCCTGAGAACGACAGACCGACACGCGGTTCAGACGCGCCTGCGCCAGCCTGCTGGACTCCGGAGCTGCCGCCTCCCCGCCCGCGCCCGGAGCTTGCGGCCCGCCGCCCTCCCCGAGCCTCCCCCAGCCCCGGACGACCCACGCCGTTGGGTCCCCAGAAAGGGCATGTGCAGGGTCTCCGGATTGGGGCAACAGTGGTTTAAAGGCGGGATGCGCCCGGCCCGGGACACGGCCCAGAAGCCTCAACAGCTCCCGCGGGTGGGAGGGCTGCCGCCGCCAGGGGGCGCTCGAGGCCCACCGAGCGGCTCGGCTGGGGCGGGGCCGTGCCACTCACCCAGGGATCCGTTCACGTGGTGCGGTTCCATCGCGCTCATGGCGGCCATGGGGCCCTCCGGGCCAGGGCCTAGAGGGAACTGTGAGGACAGAGCAGCATGGGCCTGACCGACTCATCACTTCCCCCCACGGGGTCACCCCCTACCTAGGGTCCTAGCCCTGCACCCCCACTCACGTTAGCTCTGCCGGCGCCCGGCCCGATGGGGTTCATGATGGTGTACATGTTCTCGCTGGAGTTTGTGGAGTCTGGAGGGACAGCAGGGCCACGATTGGTGGGGTGTGAATGGGCTTTCCCCCCATGCACCCGCCCGCGTCACCGCCCAGGCCATACCTCCAGGGCTGGGCATAATGGGTGTTCCAGGGGGTCCACCTCCTCCTGGGGGTCCCTGCACATGGAGGGAGAGGGCCGTGAGAAAGGCCCCTGGCTGCCAGCCCGGGCCCCAGCCTGCATATTGCCCAACTTCACCCGGACTCACCGTGTAGCTGCCGGGGGATGAGGAGGAGTAGGGAATCTGGGGACAGGAGCAGCTGTGAGTAGCTGGCATGGGCAGGCTCCTCGCCTCTGCCCTGCGGGCTCCACCACCCAGTGCACCCCACCCTGCCCCTGACTCACCGAGTTGCCACTGGGGCTGGCCCAAGGGCCTCGCACTCCTGGGCCCCTGGAAGAGATGGTGATAGACCCTGGGGCTAGGCCAGGATGGTACAGCAGTCACCCATCCCACCCTGCTCTTCTCTGCCTCCAGAGAGGACAGCATAGGTCGCCTGAGAGGTAGTCACCTGGGCCAATTCCCCGGGCTCAAATTCCAACCACTAACTAGGGTCTGGCTGCTGCTTGGGCCTCGGTTTCCCACCTAAACAGTGCAATGGAGTAAGCACCATCTAGGCTGTCCTGCCGTTGCAGATACTGCCCCTTTACTCGGGTGGACACATGCTTGGGGACACACTCAGGGCCTTACATGTTCATGGCAGGCAGACCTGGGCCAGCAAGGGAGTTGGGCGGGGGCCTCATGCTACCTCCGTAACCCTGTGAAGGCAAAGGAGCTGTGAAGGGCACCACCTCCAAGGGACAGCCCCTCAGGTTCACCCCACCTCCATCTCCACGGGCCCTTACCTGGGGCCCAACGCTGGCCACGCCCCGGGGAGGCGTCACCCGCTGCATCGGGCCGCCCATACTGGGGTGCCCTGGGGTGGGAGCAGAAAGAAGGGGGCTCAGATCTGGGCCATTCCCCAGTGTGGACGCGAATGTGGGGTCTGCACTGTGAGGCAGCCAGGTGGGGACGCTGGGAGTCAGGTCCTGAGAGCTTCCCTACTCACCGGGAGTGCGCGGGGAGGGGTCCATGGTGCCAGGGAGGAGGGGCTGGGAGCCTGCGAGGCCCACAGGAGGCTGCGAAGGGGCATAGCTGCACTGAGTGGGGTGCCCCCGCCCTGGCCCACTGCTGCCCCCTCCCCTCATCCCTCTCTCACCTGACTCGGCATCCTCAGGGTGGGCCGGGGGCCCCCTGGGAACCGCGGTGACATGAAGGGCTGGAAGAGGTGGGTGGGGGATCAGCGCCACCTCCACCCTCCTCCCCCAAAGCTCCCCAGTCCCTCCTATGCCCAGACCCCCAGTCTGGACAGGCCCCTCCTCTAGCTAACAAAAAAAACGTGGTCGTTGGACTAGACAGCGCGCTGGGGGAGGGGAGGTGTGTGCGCGCATGTGCGTGGCTGGGCAGGGCCACAGGTCCTTACCTGGCTGTGAGGCCCCATCATAGGGGCGTTGGGGTTGTGGGGGGGCGGCTGGGAGCCAAAGGGGCCCTAAGAGGACAGAACCAGGTGGGTTGTGGGAGGGGACTCCATGGAGGCAGGGGGGTGGGCCAGCCTATAGCAGGGAGCCCTGCTGGAAGGGTCATAGGTGGGACTTGTGTCACTGGTGGACACCAGGCCCACTGGTGGCCACTGCATCCCAACCACCTTGTGCTCCTTTGTGCAGACATTCCCCTTCCCACCATCGCACCTAGGTCCCTCCCTTGCTGGCTCTGCCAAGTCCAGAACAGGTACCCCTACCCCCGCCTCAGATACATGCCCACCCAGGGTTGGGGGAAAAGGAGTCCCAGGCCTGGCCATACCTGGAAGAATCCGGGCGCCATGGGGCCTGCGGCCATCGCATCACTGGGAGCCATGCTCCCCATCACCGGGCTGGGGGCCGCTGCAGCACTCTGAGGGGATGGGAGACACAGTGAGGGCCAGGTCAGGACATTTCCTGCACGGGGTGTCTTCCCCTCCTATATGCAGGTGGCCATGGGACAGGCAGCTGTAAGTGATCAAGTTTGGACTTGAACCCAGTCTAGTTGACACTGTCAGCGGGGAGTCTGGGGGGGTCCAAGTGAGGGAAGAGCAGCTGCCCCAGCCCCACCCCAGCTAAGCGTCGCTGCAAAGTGGTCCCAGCCTCCAGTGAGGTTCCACTTGAGGATTCCGCTGCCCCAGACCCCAGTGAGGGGCTCATTCAGTAGCAAAGGCGTATGGACAGGGTGGCCCCGGGCTGGCCCTGCTCTCCAAGTCCACCCAACTGGCCCTAGCCTCCTGACTGGCAGGGCAACTCGGGCCCCTAAGCCCATCCCCAACACCCCAAGCACACACAAAGTCCAACTGGGTCCTGGAGGCTCCTTGCAACTGCTGTGCAGACCCCCCGCCCCCCGACAATCTCTTCCCCCAGGATGGAGGAGGAAGAGCAGGACTAGGGTGGGGTCCCCAGGCATCTGGACGCTCCTTAGGTGGGGAGGGGGGAGGAGGGGGTGCTAGAGATGAGGGCTCCTGTGTCTGTGAAGGTGAGGTTTCTGGGCAGGCCCTAAGCTGGCAGAGGACAGGCTGACAGGCCAGTTCCTAATCAGCTCCAAGTTCCAGACCAGTCTGTCTCCGCAGCCCCAGGACCAGATGTGGAGAAGGGGACAAGGAAGGAGGGCTTGGGAGGCCAGCACCTGAGTCCCTGAGCAAGCAGGTCTCCCCTCTTGGCTGCTTGGCCCTTATCTGTCCACATCCCCCTCCTCCACCAGGTCAAAACCCCCAGAGAAAGGGGTGCCCAGTCCCTGGGGCAGGCACAAGTTGGCACACAGGGTGCTCTGGCCCTGTGGCCTTGCGGCCCCTTGGGTGCAGAAAGGAAAGTGCTTTGTCTGCTGGCCCTGACTGGCCGGCTAGGAGAGGGGTCTCTGGTTCACCCTCACTCTGTGGGCCACAGCTGGACTCCCTTCCTGCCCCTTCTCAAAAGGGCAGCCTCAAGGGCTCAGCCAAGGCCTGGCAAGTGGAGGGGGAAGTGGGTGCCTCTCCAAGCGCATGTGGATAGAGAGCCTCCCAGAGCCCCCGACAAATCACTGGAAAGCAACGTGATCTGAGGAGGGTCACGGCCTCAGCCCCCAACTCGTCTCGGGTTTCCAGTTCCAAATTGCCAGCTTGCCTCTGGGACTCAGGGCTCTGCACGCTCAGCACACTCGGGCTGGCCAGGGGGCACCTCCCCTGGGGTCAGTCCAGCCCCGGGAAGCCAGGCCCCTCTCTCACCCCAGGGGACACCTGGGCAATCCGGGTTGGGAGGCCCAGCCAGGAAGGGAGGGGAGGTGGACTCTGGCTGGGCCCAGACCACAGACCGCAAGGTGAGGGGGTGGGTGGCACCTGTGCCCCCAACTCCTAGGCCCTGAGGGGTTAATCTTGGGCTGCCTCCCTAGCTGGTAGCCCCAGCGAGCCAGACCCCCCACGTCAATCATCCCAAAGAGGCAAAGAGGCGCCAGAGCCCTGCCCGTGTTGTCATGACGACGGGCTGGGCTCGCTAGCGTTTCCTGGAGACGCCAAGGTCGGCTGGGGAGCCCTGGAGCAGGGAGGGGCACACAGAATCCTCACTCGGGCCGGGCGGGGAGGATGGGGCCCCCTTGGGAGCTCACATAGGACGCCCCGTCACAGCGGAGGGTGGCAGTCTGGCAGTCACGCACCCAGTTCCTGGCCACAGAGACCCTCACCCAGGCCTGGGGAGCCCCCGCCCCCCTCTCCTGGCCCAAGCTGCTCCCAATGCTGGTGCTGCCATGGAAACCGGCCTGTGCCTTCTGCCGAGTGGCGGATCAGAAGGCGCCTGGGGAGGCTGCTAGACCCCAGCGGGAGCAGGGGGGGCTGAAGTGCCACTGCGGAGGACAGGCACCCTCCACCCACTCCTCCGGCAGGGTTAGGGGTACGGCACAGGGGCACTAAGAGTCTCGGTAGGTGACAGTGATGCTGGGAGGCCATCAGTATGGCCCTGCTTCCACGCAGAGTGTGCCTCAGGTTGCTTCAGGGACCTGAGGAGCTAAGCACTGAGCTCCACCCTGCAGCGAAGTCCCCCAGCGTGGATGGGAGGTCAGCTGCACTGTCCCCAGCCGCCAGCCAGTGAGGGCACATCCTCAGATCCACAGCCCCATAATGATAAGATACGCCTCAGCCTCCTCTGCAGACAGGCATCGGAGCCCCACAACCCAACCAGAAACACCACGATAGGTGGAGCCCATGCCCTAGGGGCCAGGAAGTGCCCTGATGATGACCTCTAGAGCTTGTGGGGACAGGGCCCCACTGCCTCCCCTACTAGCATGTGGGCTCCCAGAGTCTGGGGTGGCAGGGACAGGCTGGTGCCCACCCCACCCAGCTGAGCAGGGAGGCAGGAAGTGCGGCACACCCTGGGGGGGCTATAGGACCCTCAGGAGCTGGCTGCAGTGGAAGGGGGTGCACAGGGACAAGGTTCCAGGTCCCCCCAGGCCCACAGAGCCCAGGCGTGCCCACGCCCACCCGGGACAGTACTCACGTAGTCCTGGAAGGCCTTGGCCTCGCCCGGGTGCTCGCACGCCTCTCTGCGGTCTGGCGCTGCACAGTACAGATCCCAGAACACACTGTGGGCAGCAGAGGGGACGATGACTGCGCCACATCCCGTTGGTCCCTGTCCCCTCTCTGCCCCCAGCAGCACCACACGCACCACCACCAGGAATGCAGGAACCCTGGGGGCTCCCCGAGCGTGATGTTCTTCTCCCATCGGATCTGCAGGGAAGAGGGGAGGCGGCTGAGAGGCTGCGGCCCATGCCAACCTCCCGCCACCCAGCCCACGGAGCCCGGGCATTTGGGGCTGGGGGGCCACCAGATCAGAGCAAGGGGGCGAGCCGGCCAACCAGAGCCACTGAGGTGGACACATGGATCCAGGGCCACAGGCCGGGATGGATGCCAGCTCACGTTCCTGACCCCATCCTTGCCCTCGGTTCCCTGGGCCACCGAAGGAGCCATCCCAACTGATGCCCCAGTGGAAACAGGGCAGAGGACCCCGGGTGTGGCAGAGGGAAAGGCCAGGCTGGCGTGTAGCTCACCTCTGACAGAAAGGTCTGGGCTGACTTCTGGGCACCAACGTGCAGCAGGTACTCATACACGTACAGAGCAAGCCTGTGGGGAGGGCGGGCGAGGTGGGCAGGGCCTATGGCCAGTACCTCCCCAAGCCCACCCCCCTGCTGTGCTCCCATCCCTCCATCCCTCCCAGAAGATGGCGTCCTCAACCCTCTTGCTCAGCTCAGCCAATTCCTAGGGTCCATCGACACCCAACCTGCAGGATCCCCGGGCATCGCCCACCCTCAACTCGAGGCCCAGTTTCGCTCAGTTCAGCACACCCTCATGGACCAAGCCCTGCCCCATCCTACCAACACTGACACCCAGGTGACCTCGGCCCTGGGGGTACCTCCACCCAGAAACAGGCTTCCCGATGCTTCTCCTGATGGGGCACCAGGGAGCGACTCTGGGTGGGCAGCTGTGTCACGTGCCCAGGGCCATTACCTACCCCATCCCAGCTGTGCCTGCCAGGAAGGCTCCCACTCCCTGGTGTCCCTGGGTCCCCTCCCCTCCCTCGGGCTCACCAGCAGGAGGTAGCTGCAACTTTTCTGCTGACTCCCAAACAAGACAGTCCTGACCCTCCCGCAGAGCCAGAGCCAGAGGTGCGCATATTCACTATGGTGCTACCCTAACACCCAGTATCCTGCATGGGTCCCCAGCAGGGAGACCTGGACTCTTCCTCCGTCACTGCTCACCCTGAAAACAAGGGTTCAGCCACTATTCGCCCAGACAGATGGCCCCAGCACTGCCCTCTGTAGGTCACAAAAGGAAGCCAGGTCACTCACTGGCTTCCCAGGCCACCTTCCACAGTAGGTTTAGTAGGGACGGGGCCCCCACCCCCGCTCCCAGTGTCACCTAATCCCTGGGCTCCAGCCCCTCCTGACTCCCTGGGTACCTCAGGGTCCTCCCACTCCCAGTCCCGGCCCTCATGGCCTCCCCACGCCATCAGGGTGGGCAGGGACAGGAGGCGGCTGGCCGCAGGCCTCCCAGCAGCCTCAGCTGTCTGCTCCCCACTCGGCGGCCGCCCTCCCCTGGCCGACAGCCCCATCCTAAAATAACCTCCCCTTGACTCATGCTCTGCAGTCTCGCGGCCCTCCTGGCCTCACTCTGAGCTCCACCTCATGTCCCTGCGCTCCCCCCACGTACCCCAGCTACTCAGTCCCACCCCAGCTCCAGCGCTTCTGCCAAGGCCCAACTACTAGGAAATGAATGTGGGGGCTCCCCTCTCTAGTTCTGACCTGCCCTGGACACCTGTCCTTTCTCCATCCATCTGTCCATTCCCCCAATAACCAGCAAACATGAGGAGAGGCCTCCAGCCCCAGACTCCCAGGGGAGCAGGGAAGGCAGGCGGCAGGGAGGCAAAAAGGGGCGGGGGCCAGCAAAGGACACTCGGTCTCAGGTCGGGGTGTAGCTGGCACAGGGCAAGGCGGGTCTCTGCAGCTCACATCTCCCCTAGTGGGTGGTGATGGCCACCTAAGGTGCAGGGATGGGGCAGAGGGGACATGTCCCAGTGTGTGGTCCCCCAGACAGGCCGCAGTCACTGTCACATCATTACCCCACTCAAAAGCACCTCCGGGCCCAGATTCTGACTTGACACCCCATTTCTATGTCCACCCTTGCTCCGACTGGTCACCTTGGCATCTTGGCCTCGAGGGTTATCAACCAACTTACTTCTAGAGGCTTCCTGAGCTTCATAAGCAGCCAGCATCTGTCAGACCCACTCCCGTCAGTGAAGGATGCCCGCAATGGCCAATGGGGGAGGTCTGTGGAGAGCCCACCAGACTGGGGAGCTCACGCCACCCCACCCTCCTCGCCCCACGAGGCTCGGGGCCCACAGGCCTGGCTCTGGGCATCAGAGCAGCGGGCACAAAGGCTGCGGGTAGTGAGACACCGAGATGGACAGAAGGACAAGGGCTGGGGGGACCCAGGGAGGCTTCCCGGAGGTGCAGGAAGGGGCCGCATTCCACCACACACACCCCAGGAGCACACGCTTTCCTGGGGTCTCAAGATATTCCTAAGGAAGTGACCCTGTCATCAGTAGGTCCACTGAGCATTCCTACGATGTCCTTCTCCATCCCCTTTCCACACACTGTCCCACAGCCCAGAGTCCCCAGAGCCCCCTGCCCACCGCTGCATCCTCCAGCGCCTCCACGCCCTGCCTGCTCCACCCCAGGCCACATCCTCCCCTCTCCCTGGTGGCCTCCCTTCCTGATCTGAAGACATCTGGTGACGCTCCCAAACAGCTAGGACCCACCTCCAGCCCGGTCCCCACTCCACTCAGGCTTCCACTCTCCACCTGGCAGCTGGAGGCCCGGCCGGCAGCCCCGCGCTCCTCCCCACCACCTGCCCCGTCCCCGTCATTGTGTCTGCCTCTGCCAGCTGCCCACCGCGACTCCTTCCACTCCCACGCTGGTCGCCAGAACTCAGTGCCCCCAAATTCAAATGAGCCCTGGCCTGGACCAGGTGTCCACTGGGCTCCCCTCGGCCGTACCCCAACACACTGCATTTACTACATTAAAGACAAAACCAAAGCAGACGTGGTGGCCTGTAGTCCCAGCTGATCAGAAGGCTGCAGCAGGATGGCTCAAGACAGGGGTTCAGGGCCAGTCTGGGTCACATGACAAGACCCCTGCTGCAAGCAACCAAACCTGAGGGAAGCCCCCTGTGTCCTGCCCACACCCCCAGCCCAGGTCTCTTACCAGGATTGTGGCAGAACCCCAGCAGGGGTTGCTCTTCCCTGGCACCTCTGTGTTCCCCGGCCACTTCCGTTCAGACCCTCTAGAGCCCCCCCACTACATAAACTGGCTGCTTCCTTCCCCAGGGCCTTCATGCAGGCTGCCATCTCCCGGGGGCACTTCCACCAGACTCCAGGGTCACCATCAGAGGCTTCCCTGGGACACCTGACCCCGATTCTGCTCCATTTCCCCTTCATCCTGTGTCTCGCCATCTGACCCAGCTCTCTGCTCACTGCTGCAGACCTTCTAGAATGTGGTTTTGAGGGGCAGGGGACTCACTGGCTCAGGTCTCAAGGGTCCTGGTGCGGGATCCAAATCCGCAGCTACTCCCAGGACTGGCTCCAAGACCTGAGAGCCCTGCCCCACCCCAGGGGTGGCCACCGAGGGCGGATAGACAGGAGGAGCACTGGAGGCCCAGGAGCGGGGAAGCCCCAGGCGCAGCTCCTCATCCCCTGAGGGAGGAGTGACCCTGAGCCACAGGCACAGGGCTGGCCAGGCATGGAGACATGGTGCAGCATTATCGCCTTGTGGACTGAAATGGGCCACCAACCACCACCGTAATTACCCAGAACTACCACAATTATAGAGAATTTTTTTAATTATCAAGAGTTACCATAATGGGGGCCCCTACCCAGCATCCCCTTGGACGTACGCTCTGCTAGGGGCTGAGAAATGCCTTCTACTACAAAGACTTGTGTCTTCCTTCAATCCATCACCAAATCCCACTGCAGCTCCCAAAGTGACCCTCCAACCCTCCAACTGCAGTCCTCCCTCCCCTCTGCCAGCCCAAGGGGCCTGACCTTCAGCAGCACCTTGTCACCAATCCCACCCCTGGCTTTTCTTCCCCAGCTGGAGGGCTTCGTCTCAGGCTCCTTTCTAAAGACCCTCTTTTGCTCTGACCCAGTGATCTAACTACCAGGTCCACAAGCCCATTTCAAAACCAAACTCACAGGAAAACAAGATACCCAGGGACACCAACCCTGGCTGTCATTTAAGGGACTCTTCTAAACCTACCTGGCAGCTCTAAAGGGCTCAAGGATACGTCTGAGGGGTAAGAGTTAACCACGGCAACCTTGAACTCTGTGGTCACTGCTGTGAGCCAAGGTAGGGACCCCACCATCTAGGAGGTACCCAGCAGGCGCTCAGTCCATTTTTAGGACCCAGAGGCCCCACGGGGAGCCCAACTGGACTCAGTATGGGGACCAGAGAGAGAAGGAAGGAAAGGACTTTTCAGGAGGCGGGAGGCTCTGAGCAGGGGAACCCAGTGCTGGGGAGTCAGGGACTGAGTCAGTGCTGGGACTGAGGCAGCGGAGCCCTCTTCACCCCACTTCACGGAAGAGGAAATCAAGACCCAGAGACAGGAAGTGGCTCGGCCACAGCTGGTATTTCCTTAGAGTGAGGGCTGCTGGTGTGGGTGCTCTGCCTTCACCCAGTCCTTTCACCCAGTCCCAAGAATTCCAAAAGGTGCCAGTGCAGCGGTGCACACCTATAATCCCAGTGGTTTGGGAAACTGAGGCAGGAGGATGGAGAATTCAAAGCCAACCACAGCACGGCAAGGTGCTAAGCGACTTAGTAAGACTCTGTCTCTAAATATAATATAAAAAGGGCTGGGGATGGGGCTCAGAGATTGAGCACCCCTGGGTTCAATTCCTGGTACCAAAAAATAAATAAAAAAACTTACAAATGGCAGGCCCTCCACATTCTAGATGAGGGAACTGAGGCGGTATCCTACCAGTCCCCCTCTCTAGTGAGGCGCCCCCCCCCCACTTCTGAGAGCTTTCCTGCAGCCAAGAAGCTAGGCTGTTGGTAGGCCACTTGCTCTCCAGGACCCCAGGCCCGTCCCCATCCATGAGCTGAGGAATGTGACCATTTGATCTGCACACTCTCTTCAGCAGCAGAGCACGGGCAAAATGGGTGAGCACAGGATGGCTCTGGCCCAAGATGGGACCTCAGCCTCCCCACCAGGTGCTGAGCCACTTGTAAGCATTCTCAATCCTGATGCTGGCATCCTCTGAGCACCTCTGTGGGACAAGCCAGGGGGTAAGGCAACTGCAGGGAGAGGGTAAAAATTGGGGATAAATCCCTCTACCAGCCCCAACCCAGAACAGAGGCAGGTTCAAAGAACCATCATTCCCCCGGATGTCTGACAGGGTCAAGAACCCACCCCAAACCCACCGCGCCCACCTCAGGCCTACTGCTCCCTCCCTTCTCTTAGCTCCTCCACCTTGCTCAAGGCTGTCTTCCAGAGAACTGTGCTTGCCTTCCCCAGGCTGCCGGCCTCTTTCCTGACCCTCCACAGCCCCACTGCACAGGGGGCCTGAGTGCACTTCTGCAAACACAAGCCTCCCTGGGCTCCACTGCCTATTCCCAGCTCAGGGCCTTGGCATGTGCTTTGCCATCTGCTGCCTCCTCCCTCTCCTACCTTCACTATCCCTAACTTCTTCAAGCCCTGTGTCTGTCCCATGGTAACTGAATACCTGACTTACAGATGTGGCCTTCTTCAGGGTCAAGTTTGCCTTGCCGACCAACACACCCCAAGACCTATTCTAGTGCAGATCTGATATACACGTGAAAAATCCCCACTGGTGGGTGGTCACCTTCAGACCCAGCAGCAACAGCCAGGTGCCAGTTTCAAAAAAGTCTTTGGGTTTAAGGCTTCTTGCAAATGGAGCTCAGCTTCCTAACTGCACAGATGAGCAAGACAGGCCTGAAGGGAGAGGTCACTGCCTAGCATCTTCTGGGACCAAAGAACCACTTCTCCAATGTGACCCAGAGACTAGGCAGAGTGTGTGTCCTTCTCTTTGTGGAGGGGAGTTGGGATTCCTACATCAGTCCAGGAAAAGGCAGAAGAGGGGGACAGAGTCAGCCAGCATTCAGGGCTTCTCTTCACTATCCAGGCTTCTCTTCAATCCTCACTAAGAGACTTCCAAGGGACCCCTGCCTGATGACCCAGCATCCTCTCCTGCTTAGGTGGGCTACTCCACATGGAGGCTACCCTAGATGTCCAACCTCTAGGATCCTGTGAATCTGCCGACACTGTGGCAGGCCCTTCACTTTTGACACTTTCACAGTGCTGCAGAGGACTGAGTGTCCTTGCTGTCATGGCTCCAAGTACCTTTCAAATGCTCCCCAAACCCTTAAAAAAGAATGCACTGCTCAGGCAAGGAAAGTCAGCCTGGCTGGGGGCACTCCCTAGCTCAGAGCCACAGAACAGGAATGGGGCAGTGCCAGATCTCGAGCTCAGCAACCTAGCTGCAGGGGCACTCAGCTGCTTCCCCACCCAAGGATTCTATCAGCCTGAGAGCACC